CCTTGACCACTAGGATTTCGGTCAATTTAACTCACAACAAGTGTATGTTTCCTATTTCCTATCAAATATGATGTAACTTTTGACCTGAGAGTTCAACAAGCTTTGTAATTGTTGACTTCATCAACTATGTATTATGTCAGTCCAGAGTGCTAAGGTCTTGTTTAAAATTTCTAAAACTGTCCAAAGTCCATTCTGTCAATATGTTTACAGAAGTTTATAGCTCGATTCAAATTCAAACCTAAAATATAACAATATGAAAGCCTCTTCTGGGTTTTGCTATCCATCAATTTCCTATATTTATAAGGTTTTTACATGACACTCTTTGATTGGTCAAAAATAAAATCATTGAGACAGGCTTTTGGTAGAAAACTTTTTAGATTACAATGTAGACTAAAAGTATCGAAATTGTAAACTTATTTTAATTAGATTGTACACTGATACAGCACCATTTAAGCTTTTATTAACATGTTATGACCCATGACAACAAGATCAGTAATAATGGAACACAATATTATGGTATACCACCCCTCAGTTTTATTTTACACAACCTATTCCACAATTCACATTTTCATTATCAGGTGACATCATGATGACAATCTAAATTGTTGTACATTAAAACTCTGTGTACAATAAAATTGTATTGTTATTTAATATGATCATTACCCCTTTATCTTTCATTTTTCTTTTAAGGGAAAATTTCCAGCTGCATATTATGGTATTGGATTTGCTGTAACAACAGTTGGTTTGTCAACAATTTTATGGATTTTACAGAGAAGACATGTGATTAAGAGAACTGATTAAATACTTCCTGCATCTTGGGAACAGTGCAATTTTGACATAGAATGCTTCAGCTTCTGCATTTTATCACATATTTCAAGATTAAAATCTTTTCTATTCGTCAGAAGCACATAATTAGATGACAATATTTCAGTTATTTGCTGTTTACAACCCAGCCCAGGACAATTTCAGGGGTTGATTTGGGTTTTTAAATATGTGAATATATGAATTTCACATTCTATTTCTATAAGCTTATATCACTTTCAAAGTAGCTTAGCTGAAGAAGTCTCGTTTCTGAGAGAAAGGTATGATATGGCAAACTGGCCCCCTTACTTCTGCAACCTGTATGACATATGTTCTTCTTGCCCTGCACATTTAAATAAAACATTCCTTTATTTTTATGATTTTATTTCATTAACATAATGTTTAAAACATTAACATATATATTTTTCATTAAAGCTTAATTTTTTTTACATTGGATTTGTCCTTTTTCATACATTCCCTAACACACAATAAATACATTTATACATCAACACTTCCAAACAAGAGTTTTGTTATACAAAGCGAAATTTGAAATGTATCTTTGTCCATAGAACTGGTTTTTTAACCTTTATTATCTTGGGAAAACCATGCATACAACATAATGACTAGCAAAACACAAAACTTTGCTCACAGTTCATTCTGATTCATGAAATTGGTTTTTAAACCTGTCTCACTGTCCCAAATTTCCATGTATACTTTCCAAACATGACCTTGATGAAATGAATTATATGTTGGTTCAGTGTTTGTAGAATCCATATAGTTTTCTTACACAAGCCGACCGTAATATTCACATTTAGGATATTTCACCTGTAATTCAGGCCACTGCACAATGATGTTATCAGCAAAGTTATAGAGTAATTTACCAGTCATTGATAATCTTTCAACACGACAAATACTTTCTACATAAATTATTCTTGTCTTTACAAAGCCAATGAACTGAAATGGAAATTTAATTCAAATCATGCTGCAATTTGTTACATTTGAAATACACATGAATTCCTAAAAAAAGCATGCACCAAACTAAATTGTATTTGATGTTCTAAAAAATATAGTGGACTTGGCACCTAACCAAATGCCTTGAAAATCAAAATGGTCCCAAATATCAGTTAAAATGTCAACTTACCTTTAACAACCAACCAATTAGACAAACGGGTATACATGTCCCTGGTCCATTACATAATACCTGAAAGTAAAATATAAAAACATAATATAATATTATCTTTATCTTGATAAGATATGAGTACGCTTGGACTTGACTAAGATTAAAATATATACAGTATAATAATGTAAAGTCACTAGGGTGGAATTGTAAATTGCAAAAATCACTAGGAGTTGAACTTGAAAAGGGAGGAGATCATTGCAGGCCAACTTTCAAGTGACTCGAAAGTATTTAAATATAATTTCACATAAAAATGCCTTTCAAGCCATGTTACAGTTAAAAAATTTTGAAAACTTACTATTTCTGGTCGACAAATAAACATTAAAGGTATGCAATATAACACACTATAAACTGTACAAACAAACGATGTAAACCATGACTGATTCACTTCTCGACATCTTGGAATTTTGTGAATTAAATACTGTAAAGAAAAATAAACAAATTCATTAGTCAAAATATAAATTAAGAAGGTGAGTGACATTCTAGTAGATTGCCTGAAACACATGGCTGAACACAATACAATACAATACAGCTATTAGGCACTGTCTTATTATGTAATCAAAGGGTAATTAAGGTCATGACAAAAGACATTTATCTTGGTCATTCTTTTAATAAGCTTACCTCATTTTTTAGATTCTTTTTCTTCCTCAAATTATCCTCTAGAGAATGAACCTTATTTTCACTAATACTATCTGTATAAGCTACGACATAATGTCTTGGTGAATAATTTCCACTTAGGGCACTCATTAATCGTAACATTTCTCTTGTATGGCCACCTACAATGAAAATATTATCTCATAAATATAATTCAAATACTGGATAGTGTTAAAATAAAAAGATAATTCGTAACCATGATTAAATGTTAAACAGTGGACATTTTTATTAGCTTTACCTGAGCCAACAACTGCAACAATTGATGCTGGTTCCGTTCGAACCTCGTTGAGTTTACTTCTTTCTGGACATTGGCGATACCTTCTGTACACTAAATACATTATTGTTAGAACTGGTAGAATATAGTACAGACATGGTATTAGTTCACTCATCTTTTACAGTTTTGGTAGCATTCACACATATAACAAAACAAACAAATGAAGAAATATATTCCCAATGTCAGATACGTTGAGCTGGCTGAAGTCAAACTGGTTTTTTTTTGTAGTTGACGGAGCACACTGATCACAACTCCTCAGTATTGTATGGATGGACTAATCCTAAACTTAATTGAAATGTTGTTACTGTTTTTTGTAAAAATGCTGCGTGGAGTTTAACAGCAGAATTTGTTGTGATCTTTTAGCTTTGACAGTTAATGACCTATGACTTCTGTTACCAATGTAGTATTACTCTTATGTTGACACGTGCCAGCTGACTTTATTATCATTGGGCAGATAACTCCTTTGTTTTTGAACTGTGAACCCAAAATGGGAACTGGATGGTATAACGGAACGAACAAACAAATAATGCTGATCCTTATTAGTAGATATTAAACCAATGATTTAATATACATAGTATATGAAAATTATTGACTGAGCGAATGGTATTGGTATTAGCTCATAAGATCTACTTTGCAGATCGACCTTTGATTTTTATGAATATTGCTGATAACATAATTTGAGTTTTCTGTTATCTATCTGTTATCTTCAAACTATCTACATTAACCCAATTAGGTTGTAGAAGAATTAACAAATATCTCGTCCTATTTAACCTTAAAAGATAAGATAATTTTTAATTAGATTTTTTTTGGTTAAAAATGAAAGAAACTTTCGTTTTTTTTTCTAATTTTTTTTCTTCGTTTCTCATTTTGCAGGCTACCGGAATCATACGTCACCGGAAATGAAAATTATCTATTTTAAGCAGGAAAGGAACAATGACAGAAATAACTGGTAATTCCCAAAATAATCACCGTTAACACGCCTACAGTGTGCACAGTTTGCTCTGCTTGGCGGACACAGGTTGACGTATGATATTAACTGTATTAAGCCCTAGAAATAGTTTATAACTTGGCCAGTTTCAACTAAGAAACCCCAAACCCACACACCACGAGTCGCATGACACTTGCGTACATCTTTGCCATGGCATCTGCAATAATGTAAACTCCCTTTCTCTTTCAAACATAACTGTGAAGCTTTCCCTCTTCTGTCCATTAAATGGCCATAGAATTGCATTATTGCAATGATTTTTGTATTGTATTGAATTAAATAGTAATTTCAAATTACTACAGAGTTCTTTTGAAGTTTAATTTTCAAATTCAAGAAAATAATTTATAAAGCCAGATCTATGTCTAACCCTTTCCTGTTAGTCATAGCTTTTATGTCTTCTGTACACTTTTTTAATTGATATTATCAATCGTCAAAACGAATCCCCATTTACATCACAAACTCTAATCAATTTTTCCAATGCATCAAGAAAATCCTTCAGAACAAATATTGCTTTATTGGAACCCTAATTGCATGAAATAGACCAAAGTTTGTTATCTCTAAGGACATAATATGGTTACAGAAAGAGTTGTCAAATTAAGTCATAATTTAACTGCAGCTGGTCGCCTAATTATTTCTTACTCTTAGTCTTTCAAACTTTGACAGTTGACATGAAAACATTGAAGGGTAAAATTATTTGAGTTAATGACCAAGTTTTAGTTTGACCTTTCAAATGATTTTTTTATATATATTTTTTTGTTTCTGAAGATGTTTTCAAGCTTTTCCCACTTCTTAATTCAGTAGAAAAATGTGAAAATAAGTGTAAATGTATGGATTATTTTTGTAAAGTGTTTTCTTTCAAATATTTTTGCAGAGAATAATGGATAATCCAAGCTGTTATAGAAGGAGGGTTATTTAGAGTGTTGATTTATGAGCTATTGTTATCAAGATGTTATCTCAGAATAACTAGTGTATTGAAATAGCTTATCTTTGACCTATTGTAGTCACAGTCCAACACGTCATGATTAGAATATTGCTGTTAGAACTCTCATCTATACACTTTATTTCTACTATATTATAAGGTAAGGTATCTAGGGTTTATTCATTTATTATAATGAAATAATGTGAAACTTCATTCAAATAAATATAATTTTGCATCAACAGATGAAAGAAGCCTGTTTTGTTGAATTAACAATAACATATTTACATTGTCTATGTACATGAAATGTGAATAAAACATTATTTTGAAATGATTTAAGATTTAAATAACACATTCTAGAATGTTGCCTCATTTATTTTGTGAAAATGTCATGAAATTTTTATGTGCTACTGCTACTAATCTCTTAAAACAAAAAAGTAGTTTGACTGAAGCAGAAATATATCCTTGGAATCTTATTACATTTGGGTTGTAGAATTATCTATGCTTATGCACTTAAAAACTGATATATCGGTGATTGCCTGTAACCTATTGGTTGTAGATAATTATATTCTTTATGCTCTATATTATAGATGAGATAATAAAAGTTCAAGATGGGAAGGACAATCGATACTGTAACATTTGATCCTTCATACTACCCTGCTGCAGTAGTTAGCTGTATGGTCTTTTTGTATTTGTATAAATATACTAGTCCTAATTTATCCTCCAAATTTGCTCCTAAATATACATCCTTAACAGAAGTGGAACAGATTGATTGGAATACAAGGTACAGAATTTTTATAGAATTCTTTGGAAGAAACATGAAAGCTGTCTGTTACAATTTTCATCCAGTTTTGTTGAAACTTTGTTTGGATATTAGATAACATAACTTTAGTTACCCATGGCTTAGTAATAAAGCATTTCAAGCATTTTTGCCTCTGATTGATGTATAGACTGACAACTCTGGACAACAATTCCTCAGACATGATATGTGGATGTGATATTGTCATGTTTACAGCACTTCAGAATTGTATGAAATCAGGAAAAGACTATGAGAATAGGTTTAGTTTAGGGACAACATAATTGGTATATGGATTGTCAGGATGAACTGTTGCATTAAACATCATTAGATGTCTGAATATGACAATATCACACCTGTAAACTCTGGTCCTACCCAGTCCCTTAAGTTGTTAAGCTTACTAATATACTGCTGTAGCATTATTATATTGCCATATCAGTGAATAACTTTCTGATGAAAGATCTGTTTTTCTTATAGATTTAACTCCACAATTCATGCAACATTTGTTAGTTGTATGTGTGTTTACTCTTTAATTTATGATGAAGATATCAGTAAGGAACCAATATGGTAAGTTACATTTTATTCCATCATTTTCTTTCCTGAGCTCAGTAAATTAACTCCACTGAACTAGTTTAAATTATCATTTTCCACATTTACCTAGCTAGCCACTCCTACACTCGTAATTTTTTCGAGGGCTAGGAATTCAAATTGAGGAATGTGTAAATACATGAAAAGAAAAATAATTGAATTAAATTGACGTACTGCTATTGGAGATATATTTGTTTTTTGAATGCTAGAATATTTGTATTATATTGCAGGGCAGATTCTCCAATGGTTCGTACTAGTTGTGCTATCGTTGTTGGTTATATGACTTGTGGTAAGTGTTATTTGAATGACCACTTCTACCTTTATGAATTAAGGAATTACTTTGCAAATTGAAATGATATCCATACTTAATGTATTATTATTGAAGGCACAACCATAATGTATGACCAATTGTTAATACTTATAGTGGTAAAAACTTGTTAACAGCCTATGTTTCTCAAATACTGTACAATAAAAAGGAATTGTTAAATTTTTTCAGAGATCTACTCTCATGTATTTTAAGATTTAAGAATCTAGTACCATGAGCTTTATGTTCTATGTACCGGTATTGTAAAATGTTCATTGTATTTTAGATATTTTGATAATGACAATACATTATAAAAAAATTGGTGAAGCTTTTTATTTTTTTCATCATGGGGCATCAATGTATGCTTATTTTTATGTTATGGTAAGTTGATTTACATAGTACATTAAATTGATAATAGATGGATTAGCCATGATGTATATAATAAGAATAGATGAATAGAGTAGCACTTGCCAGTGACAAATTTTCCCTCATTGCACAATAAGCTGTGTGGCCCAATGCCGAAAAGAAGGACATAAACTCTCTTCATTTCTAGATCACAAAATATATAATGAAAGGATACGCATGTTAAACTTCGATATAAGTGTTTATTTTATTTTATAATGATCAAGATTTCTGTCTTGACAAGATTAATTGTCATTTATGTTCTATTTTTCAGACCTATGGTGTATTACCATATTTTGCCAATTTTCGTCTCATGGCAGAATTTTCAACACCCTTTGTTAATCAAAGGTAATATGACTATTTTTTACTAGAGAACTTATGTAGTACCTACTAAAGTTCTACTGATTTGAAATCATCTCATCAAACACTTTTAACAGTAACAGCTTGTAACAGTACCTCAAGGCCCTGTGTGCTACAGGTCCCTTGATAGGAATAGACTGATGTTGCCACCATGGCACTACATGGTTCACACCATTTGATAATGAATGAAGACATGATCTCTACTTTAACTTTCCATTCTTTTATTTCAGGTGGTTTTTAGATAAACTGAAATATTCCAAAACCAGTAAAATTTTCATGTTAAATGGTCTTGCAATGACAATTACATTTTTCTTTGTACGCATAGCTGTGATGCCCACCTATTGGAAACGTGTATATAGTGTGATTGGTACAGAATCATTTAAAAGATTAGGACACATTTCACTTGTTTTAGTTATAACTTGTTTTATTTTAGATAGTATTAACTTATTTTGGTTTTATAAAATGTGTCAAGGTGTGAAAAGAGTTCTTAAAATTTATGCAAAAAAGAACATGGAATTAATGAATAATCATGTAAGCATAGAAAAAGAAGAGTAATTTTTGTGTGCAGGTTTTATGTTATGTTGGTTTGTGTTTTTGTACTTTGAATTGGATATTAAGTTAATTTCAATATCAAACTAATTATGAATGTCTGAGATTAATATCACATCCAAGATGTTATCTCGTGTGTTTAAAACTAGGTTGTTGTATTTTAAATTTCAGGCTATTTTAGCTCTCAAAGTCTCAAAAACTATTTCATGCATTTTCTTCATGAATTGTTAACAATATGTGATTGTTTGTTGTAAAGTTACTTTATCTGAAATAAGAATAGTAAACCTCTGTATGTAAATAGATGTGACATTGTTTAAGGTACCCTCACAATATAGCAAAAATAAAGCTCAGTTGCTGAAGAGTTGCATATGAAACTTGCAACCATACGCAACTGGTGACCTTTATGGTGTGGGGCCACTTAACAGAATTTTGATCAAATTTACAAAGGTTCTTGTTTTAATTGCTTTCCATATATCATGTTTATCTAGTCAGAGTAACTAAGTGGAATAATTAAAAATTTTACCAAAATATGTGCTATAATAATTTTTATGTCAACTCATACGTATCTTTTCGACTCATGAGGTTATTAAGTGCAACAATGGATATTAAGTAGTTCAGTATTTAAAGAAATGCAATAAAAAACTGCAGTTATAAACAGTCATCAACGTTGTGTTGTTTATTATAAAAGATAAATTGTTTTTGACCACTACTAACTAAGAATCAGGTAAAATAATGTGTATTGCAATGAAATTATAGAATCTAGTCTTGGTTTTCAATTGCATTTAAAATACTTAACTTCATCATTCTGTTTTTAATGTAAAGGTTTTAATATCAGGTTTATATTAGTGAATATTTAAATATATGTGTGTGAAAATTTGATTGATGTGTAAGGTTATTGAGGAAGTGATGAATTGCTTACAACATTATTTACATTCCTGATTCTGATACAGCATAGCATTGTCAGATAATGAGCATACCAGCTATTTTACTGGCATTTATACTATCTTAACCTTCTTATGCTTCCAAACCATCATGGATACCAAAGATCCAATGCCAAATTTTTTTTCTCTTTAGTTGAGACTTTTCAATGTTATTTTGTTAAAGTGATTGTAAAGAGGTTTTCTAAAAATGCGTATATGTATCGGGGACACTGGTGTTTTCTGCAATTCCACTAAAACTAGGTGTTTGATAATGTCACTAATTTTGAAGGGCCTTATGTAATAAAGCATACTGTGCAATTAGTGACATCATCAAACACATAATTTTAGTGGAATTGCTGATTGAGATGGTGTAAATTGATGCCAACATTGTCCCTGATACACATACAATTTTTAGAAAACCCTTTACAATCCCTTTAAATTGAAAGAGTATACTTATTTTATTCTTGTCTCACAAGTAGTTCACAAGTTGAAAGTATGGTTGAGTCAGGTCACAAGCTAGCTCATTTTTTTAATGGGGGCCCCTTCTAGCTACGGGCTTGGGTTGAGTCAACTTAAAAGGCTCACAAGTATGAATCGTTATTTTCACTTGATAGTATTTTTCCCATATCAATTTTATATCTTAATTTCAATTTGTGATATGATCAAACATTAAATGATTAATTTATTTAATTTGTTTACATGCAAAGTATATATTGGTGTATTGCTTACAGTAGGTCTGATGCTAGCTTTACAATACAATCTACAGGACTGAAGGGTCACAGTATACATCTAATCCTGGAATCATTTCAAAAAAAAAATATTCTAAACACCATCTCTTGGTAGATTTAGTTTTTCCAAACTAAAAATGGCTCAATGGTGAAAGTGTCCGAAAGTTGAATTCTTATACCAAATTTTAATTATTCAATGCAATCAATAATTGGTCAAATTCAATAAAAGTGTTTGTTTAGAGCTAATCGTATGAACAGACTTGTGACCCTTGTGTGCCAAACTGAATTTTCCATGGGAAATACTATGTACAATTATGACTTGCTTCACAGTGTCACAGTTTATGTAAACTTAGGTAAATTACAATGATGTTGATTTTATGTTAATAATTTTTTACAAAGATGGGAACTATCTTTTTACAATATGACATTGTTAATGAATACAATATTCAGAAGAAAACAATTGATTTAAGATAGCTTTCCTATCTAGTTTAATTTTACACAATTCACAATAAAGTTTGCTTTTTTGAAAATTTGTTGTCTTTAAAGAAATATATGGATTGTCAATGATAATTGTGCACTTCTGAAACTGGTCATTTTCAAAACATAAGGCAGTCGAGTATAACATAAGCACTGTAAAATAAAGTGAAGTTTATGTTTTGAATTGTACCTGAATCCGATGTACACTAATATCTTTGCTTGGTTGTATGATCTGCTAAGGAAATTCCAACATATGAAGAGAATTGAAAATATACAAGACATAATAAGACAAGTATATTACCATATAATTTGGACTGTTTTTGTGGATGTATATTGTTGAAGAATTTTCCAATTAAGCTTTCGGTTAAGCCAGATTTGATTGTGTCAGTTGCTCTCCAAAAACAGATGTGTGTCTTTTACAAGAAGCCATAAAATCCTACATACACAGAGAAAAATACATAGTTTATATATCTAACCTTCAAATTATGATTTAAAAAAAAAGATGAAAAAAATAAATAACAAGGACGGAATGTTGAAATAATCATTTAAAATGGAGTCTGACTCTCTCACTGTAGACTCTTCTTTCCTGTTAATCTCTCTTGTAGAATTTGATTGTATTGATCTAAGAAACTATACACTTGTTTACTGACTGGTCTGTAATCACATTCCATAGTTCTTGTAGCAATAACTGGTATTAGTTAAGAAAAAGCGAAGAGAAATTTAAACTAGATTTTCCAGCTTAATGGTATTTGTAGGATGACACACTATATTTACATCAAGCAAGACTTGTCACAGCAGCTGAAATAAACCCTTTAAAAAGAGAACCCCTCACCCATGTGTCAAACTTGTTGAGCAACAGTCAACAAAATATTGTTACCAATCTATAATATAATAATTAAAGGATACATTCTTTCATAGAGAAGTTGTTTTGTTCATGATGTTGCCATTTCTTTTCTAAGTTAGCCAGCTGTAAAAATAAATCATAATAATATTTGAAAAATATCTACATATATGAAACTTGAAAAACCCTTTCCCTTGATTTTTGTAAATTGTAATACAAAACTCACCTGTGTATATGTTTCATTATCATTTAACTGAGATTTCAATCCTTCATATTTACTCTTCATTTGTTGTATAAGTTTTTTAAAGGCTTCACGTCGCTTCTGTAAAACTATTCTGTCATCTTGTAGTTTCTGTAACACAATCAACAGAAAAACTTCGACAAGGATGGCATGGATACACATGTAAAACACTCAATGAAATTTGACCATCTTTTCTCAGGCCTCTTAACCTATCCATCAAGGGAGATCACTCTTGTTAGAGACTTGATATTTTAAGACTACAATATAATAATAAAGAAAATTGTGGAAATAAACTTCATATCCTTCATATAGATGAATACCTTCTGACTAATCTTAAGATTGTACAGCTGTTTCTTCTATGTCGCTAAAACTAATTCATTCATTCGAACCTAAAACTAATTCATTCATTCGAACAAAAAACAAAGCCTGATTTGCACTCGCGTTGTATATACACTTTGTTAAATGTTATCTCATCTCATACCATTTTCTTTTCCTCTGACTGCTGTTTCAGTTTATCAAGATCAGAATAAACTTCTAAATCTGTTGACATAGTATTTGTTTTTTCTTTTAACACAGTTAGTTCATCATGTAATTTCTCTTCCATTACGTCTAATTTCTTTAGATCTTGTTCTAATTTCTCTCTTTCTGTTATGAAAAAAATTCAAAATAAAGTAATTAAATATAAAGAATGGTTTGTGTAAAAGAAGATTTTATTCATGACTTTATGAAACATGTCTATGGAGAATTTCTTAATCTTTTTTATTCATTTTAGCATAAGTATCTATGTATAATTGAGAAAGTTTCAAATCTGAATTAAAAGAAAATAAAAGATCCATTGCTTATTTGATTAAATTACTACTATCATACCAGCTGCTAGTCCAAGAGTTGTTGTTTCAGATTTCTTCATTTCATCTTCTTTAAAAGCTAAATCATCTTTCATATTAGCCAGTTCATTTGGTGTTGGTAAACTTCCAAATCTCCCCATATTCTACAACAGAAAGCTGAATCTTTATATAATACATGTTATAATAATGTATACAGAGATAAACCAAACTGGAGGCAGAAAGTTAAGACATTAAGAGCTTCAAATCAAGGAACCAAATCATTGAGTTCAAGTCTTTTCCGAAACATGTGTTGTTTGAAAATAAAATTCTTTGATTCTGTACACAAAACTGTTTTCTTAAGGTGCAGGCACAGGAAGGGTCTTGATCAAATTTTAACACCGACTAGAGTCTTGTTATTTTTCACCGACTATCACAGGAACACGAGGAGACAAAAATCATAAACGGAGCATGCAATTGAAAGTGAGTCTGATTGGATGATGACCGTATGTCTTGCAGGCACACATGAGACTTTACTCCAGACTCTAATCAGCGACAAAAATCTCCAACCTAGACCGCTCATGTGCCCTCACCTTAATGTGAAGTTCTTCATAGAGTATATTTTTCGTTATCATTAAATGTTGAAAATCCATATTGAATAAACACTACTTACCCTAGAGATGTGTTCTAAAGCAGAAACAATACCACTTTGTAATTCACTTGTTCTTCTCTACAATAACAAAATTATTTCAGGATCATAATATCAACAATCAACAAAATACCTGACAACTGTTATAACACCAAAAGCTAGTTGAAACTTTCTGTAAAGAAAAATACTTACAATTTCTTCTGCTTTACTTTCATCATAAACATCCAAAAATTCTGCAAACAAAAATAGAGGTTCACATTTCAGAATTGAATTCCAAATCTGTATTAAAAACAAAGAATGTTTCTTAAACCATAAACTAACAACAAATTTAACACAGAATTTACAAAAATAAGAACTTACCATCCATATTCTCTTCTCGTTTCTTCAGTTCCTTATATTTCTGATTTTTCTCTCCTATAATTTAAATTTTCCAATCAAAATATAAGTTGAATGTCATAATATAGATAATAATTACACAATTACACTTATATTTCAAATATCATTTAGGGCAATAAAAAAATTGTTATTGCTTGTAACTTAATATGATTCCATCTGACCTTGATTTTCTTCAATATCCATATCATACTGATTGATCTCTTCTCTCATAGAATCTATCTTCTCTTGTAAATCTCGAATTCTACAATATACATTAGTCTTAAAGTGAGTTACATAATCTCCCTTCAGAGAGCCCAAATTCCAGTTTAGCCACAAAGATAATTTTTTGAAATTCTTGAAGATACATAAGGACTGGAAAAGTTGACATTTATGGACTTCTATTAAGTGTATGTTTCTGATATTTTCAGAACCATGCTATAACATAAAAATAACTTACTGTCTATCCATGCTGGCTATTTCTTGATTATCTTCTTTAACTTGTTTTAATAATTTTTCTCTTTCCTCAGCTGGTGATCCATGTTGTTTAGATTCCTCTATCAAATTATCTCTTTTAGCTGTTAATTCATGGATCTGTTCATACAGTCGGACTGAAACAATATACTTTAACTTTCAAACATATTACATATATATTGTATATCTTATGAAAAACATTAAAAAGCAATGCATTTGAGTTTATAAACTTTCTTAGTGACCTCCGAGCTAGTGATATTTATTCAGTACTTGTTAATTGAGGCTCTGTTACTGATCAATTTTTATTTTTAAGCCCAAATTTTACTGCTTGAGTGTTTGAGAAATCGTGTCAAGGTAAAATTTTGATGTCTTCTCACTGAGAAAAATTTTATGAAATTGTAATATTATGTTCATTTCAATCAAAATGAAATCTCACCGGCTTCTTGTTTAACTTGTGACATTGATAAATCCTGTAATAATAAATAAATATGAGAAATAAGGGGATGTTATCAAATAGTTAAGTAGTTACTAGCTCACGACTTCTGACTTCCCCTCTACTATTGTCCCTAACTTCGCGTACATAACACATTGTTTTATGGTTGTTACAAGCTGCTCTGCAAAAAGATTTCCATTCTCTGTGGATCAAATCATTGAATGGCAGATTTATAAAGTATACTATATTGATATCAAATATGTACCAATGCAAATTATAGACTGCAAAAAGAAAGAGACACAAAACCAAACAAATTGTAAATATATATATAGACAGTCCTTTCATAAGTAAAAATATCCACATACCTCTTGTAATGTTTCTATTCTTGAATTAAGATGATCTATTTCTTGTTGACCTTTCTCAGTTTCTTTAAATAAATGATCATTTAATGTCTTCAGTTTGTGATATTTCTGTCTTAATTTAGGATCCTACAAAAAAAAAATGACAAAATCTTTACTAATAGACTATGTTCTTTGTTGGTTCCAATTTCATTGTCAAACTCCAATCTCTGATCACAGATAAGAGTTTTGAGTCACATGGAAGTTAGATGTGGATGTAGAAGGATTCTGAACCCACATTCATGAATTGCTTAAAAGATACATCTTGTAGTTGCCGAATTATTATGTTGAAAATTTGGCTTCAAACCTCTCTCAACAAGGTATCTGGTGTTAATCTAACTTACCATATCATTAACTAAATTATCAGCCATTCTCTTTTCTTGATCTATTTCCATTTCTAACTGAGCAATATATTCTTCTTTTCTATTATAGATATATATTTAATACATAGTAGGTTCTCTAATATGCCAAATCATGCCCCAAATAATAATAGAATAAAAGAATAATATCTTAAATATTTTCATAGTAAGTTTTTAGTGATATGGAGGACCAGGGATTTTGAATGAGCTGCAAGGAAAGCTGTTGTATACTATTGTACAAAATAATCATAATAAACAGAAAAGTAACAAATTGAAATACTCACTGTTTTTTAATATCAAACATTTCTTCAATCTTTTTAGAATCACGATCATTTTGGGCCTTTAGCTAAAATATACAAAAAAAAAAATTGTTTGGGATCAAATTTTTCAGTTTATTTAGCCATTTTAAAGACAAAGTATAAAATACATTGTTCTATTACATGTTGCCATTTATGCTAACTATAGCTTCTGAAGATATGTCCTTGTAATTGGATTTGGAAAGACATTTCAAATCTTTTAAAGCAAACATTATAAAAACCTAGATAATGGAATCTAAAAGTGCTAATATAACTTACATTATTACAATCAAACTCAACATCTTGTATGTCTTCATCTATAGTTAACTTATCAACAAGCTGAAATATACAATAGAATTCATTATTTATACCTGATTTGATGTTTTTGATGATCAAAAATTCAAAAATTATTTTTATTCAAAGTACTTACAATATTATAATCTCCTAATTCAGCCTGTAAATCACGGATTTCACCAGCCAATACTTCTGCTCTGAAACAAAAACATAAATTTCACTTTTTTATCTCATCCAAGCTTGACAAATCTTGATATTTGACTGTTGTCACATTGTAAGTATTGTTGATGAATTCTTATTTAAACCTTTGGCTTGATATATAATATTATATGTAATATAGAATGAAAAAAAGCCAGGATTGTGTATGAAATAAAATTCATAATGTAAAACTGATTTCTTCATACCTTTTATCATAAGTTAGGAAACTTGAATTTTCATCATTGGTATTATCAATATCTTTCGTTAAATTATTGATCTCTCCATTTAATTCATTTATCTTACTCCTGAAATATAGTCATACAAATTTGGAAACTTCAAGAATGCAGATCTGGATTGTCATTCAAACTGGAAATTATGCTTACCTTGGGCCTCCTGCGACAAAATACTTTAAGATATACATACTTTACTAAGAAATAGTGTAAAGAATAACAAACAGGGGCAAAATACATAACACAGACTGAAAAGGGGCAAGAATGTCTTGATTCCAAACAACAACTCGTGAACAATTCCAAACAAGCTCTTGCCAATCAGATATTGGTAGAGATCAGCCGCCAAAGTAAAAGAGGATATGCTGGAATACCTATAAGAGTAAGAATGATGGGTTACCTGATTAATCCAAGAAAATAAGTTTTATCCATAACTTGTCTTCTACCTGTGAATTATAAAAAATACCCATATATAATTTTGAAGATAAGTTCACTGTAACCAGTAACATCAAAAGACATTGTTCTAAATTTCACTATCAATTGAATATTTGGATAAACAAATAAGCAAACGTTACCTCTAGCTGCAGTTTTCATTCCACCTAAACCTTGCTGGGTTGTTGGTCTGTCAACAACATTAACCTGGGAATTCAAGGCTGCAAAATAACCAAACATCAACAATAAAAAATAGGATATAAACCAAAAGTATTAAAATAAATGGAATATAATATAAAATGTCATAGTAATTCAACAAGCTTAGTCTTAGATCATAAGAATTCATGTTACCCAATTAGACAAAAGCTTTGTAAGACCATTAAGAATCAGTTAAATGTCAATAAATAATAACCAAATATTAACAAGAATCATTAGAATCTAAATGGAATAGCAAGACCAATCAGACAGGTTATTTGGAAAGATGAGCCTGACCTGCAAGGCTACAAATGCAGCTGACACAGTTTTTGGACACTTACCAACACCACCAGCTACAGCTCCTCCTCTAGTACCAGGTCTAGCTGTTCCTGGGTTCTAAAATATATCATAATAATTCATCATATCTGGTAATAATTATCCAACACACCAAAACAAAAACCTGGATATCAGTTGGGGAATTGAACAAATCTCTAATAATCAAAGTAAGCCTTTACATTTATTTCTTTTAAAGCAGTTTTCAAATCAATAATAAAGAATTTTGGTGAAATTATTTTCATAAGAGTACTCATAGCTTACCATTGCAGTTGTAAGTCTTGTTGCCGTGCCAGCAGGTCTCCCACCCATAGCTGTAACAAGAATAAAAATTATCTTTAGAAAACAAACTTTCTTATTACAAAAAAAAATTATATACATCAAACACAAGAACTATCCCATAATTCACTGAACACAAATGAAAACAAATGAAGAAAATAAAATATTTCTACAAACCTGTTCCTATCTGACCGCGAGTCATTGGTCTACCACTACTGCTTGGTGGTCTGTTACTCCTAAAACATTCAAAAATCAGTTTACATCACATGTAAACATACTGACAAGTGGCGAGACATTCACAATTCACACTTTAATTTGTGGACTATAAAAAATGTCATTGTCTGCAACTCAAAGAAAATCTCAGGACCTCGTTGACATTTTGGAGTAGATATTTAAATACACTGAAAATTATTTGACGAAATACGATTCTATAAACATTGTGGTCGGAGTAAAGCCAGAGGAATCTTTCATTTTCACATTTTGATTAAATGATTTTGTTATTTTATCTACTCTAGGCCCATGGCTATAGCCATAACATGCAAAATTGTTTTCATATTGAAATATGAGGACTATCTTCTTTAAAATCTATAAAGTATTTTCAATACTTACATGATTAAACTAAGAAAGTCGACAAAAGTCAAGCAAGTTATATCAACTATCTGAGTTTGTTTACTTGCGACTAAGGAATTCCAGTATCTGTCGCGAGTATCTATAACTTCCGGTGTACGGATAACTGCCCTTTACGACAAAGCGCCATCCGTCAAATGGACCCAAATAATGGACCATTTGACAATTTTGTAAACAAAATAAAGATCTTTATTCGGAAATGTTTTATGCTTTTATTCATTTGAAAAGGTGAATATTACATACCTTTATAGGTAGAATAAGGGGCACTCCCTCGGTTATGGAGTTCAAAATATCTCCCTCAGATTTTACCTCTTTTGCCACAAACTGGGAGTGCAGAAAAGGAATATTTAGAACTTTGGCTGTAAGCCATTAAAACCATTTACATGGGGTTCTGCTTCTTCACAATCTCGGGGTATATATGAACTCCGCCATTGTGAAGATGGGGGTTGACCATGAGTTATAAATAGTTCTTATTATAAAACTAAATCTATGGGGTTGACGAGCAGTCGGATGGAACCATCGAGAAAATTACGTTCTAATCTCAATCGGCATGTGAGTGTGACCTTAAATAAGTCACTTTTTATTATCATTCCAGTTAGGACGTTGTTATTTTGGTTAATAAATATGATATTAAGACTTTTTAAAGGCCAGTTTATGACAATATCGTTCAGAGTAACTGTTGTGAAACTCAAGAACGGTAAGATGCCTGTGGGAGAGTTTCACGTGATTCTAACCTCTCAACAGCATGAACAATATGAACAATTGCCAATGTTTTTATCTTTTAAGAACCATTACAAGAGCACTGACACTAATTTCAGACCGCCTCATCCAACTACAACATCTGCATCACAGCTCGTCAGACTAATGGCCACCAACAGTGCCCATTCCTTATTAACGTCAAACAACGAATTTGGGTGAGATACCCACCAACAACATTGGCGTTTTTCACAGTGTGATGTTGTTAGGCCGGTTGAGAGTACCATGCATTATGGCATGGATTGCAACCGACATCAATCAGAAACAAAGACCGACTGTCTTTCAGCAGGATATTGGCTCAGAGACCATAAAGACAGAGGCGCCCATTACATCGACCCCACTTTCCAAGATGCGAAGCCATAAAATCCAGCATGGAAACGTTTCATGAATGCAACCCCCGTTTGCTTGGTTAATTCATAAGGAAATAAAGACTTGCAATAGATGTTGAAGTTTTATTCTTTTCTTTGCCCACTGTAATAATTAAATTGATCACTAGTCAATCTGTGGTTAAATGGCCTTTCACAAGCACACAATTACACATGTCATACATAAATGGCTATATAATAAAGGGTGAGAATGATAGTTATATATTGAAGATGTTGAAATTTATTTTCTAGCAATGAGCACAGTATTATAAAACAAATAGTTTAATTTCAGTACAGCCAATCGGAATGGATAAGCTTTTGTCACAAGAGTTTAAATATCTGCAAGGGCCATTAATGATGTCTGAAATCGCTGCCGAGTGGAAATGTTGATCTCTTGCTGCAGTGATTGATCAATACTCCAGAAGTTTTTAATTTGCTCAGCATTTGATATGATTTTTAGCAAAATGGCCTTGTGCATTTCAGAATATATATACTATGCGTAGTTGATGTTTTTTACAGTCCAGCAATATTGGAAGACATATTTCCAGTCAATTGTCACTAGAATAAATCCATTACGAAATCCAGAGGCAATATGAAACCAGATGAATTCATAGAAAAATGTAATATATACTTAATTAATCAAATTTCAAATGAACAGTCTTTCAACAGTTTGTTACGCAATTTTAATACAAACTGACATCAATCAATAGCTGATTCTAGACAATTCAACACTATCTTGCATTCTTGAAATTTTTAAATGCTTTTTCTTTTTGATGCTGACTAGTGTTAGTTGACTGAAAACAGCTGTTATTTTATCAGCAGTTACAACTCATTGCTTCTTACACTGAAATGAACACTGATATTAACGGTTAAAACCATAGATTCTATATAAATCAACAATATCTATAAAATTACTGTTTATAGTGCTTCTGGGACATAAAAATTGTATAAATTTGAATTAGTTTTAGGACTAAAGATTAAACGAGAAAACTTTTGGATGAAAGATAGATTTATTCTTATTTTGTGAAAAAAAATGTTAGTCATTCAAGGTATATTTTGACAAATCTCTTTTAAGGCTGTTCTATAGCCATATATTTAGTACAATATCCCAATATCTCAATATTACTTTAGAATTTATATAAAGAGTACATTTTCACTAAAAGATAGACAACTACTACAAAACTATGACCTAAAAATAGTACTTCAAATATGAAAACCGACAAATTGATGAAGTTTCTGTGGGAAAGTAAAAATTTTATTCACCACCAATGGAGTCACCGAAACCAAATCCTCATCACAATTTTCTCATCAGCCAGCACATTCAGTTACTAGCTTTGGTAATGTTCATAAATAGGTTTTATTTATAAATAACATTTATACGAGTTATTTCGAAATTATGTTGGCAAAATATTTTCACTCTCAATAATGAGGGGAAAAAAGCACTTTTTGAGCTAGCACTTGGACCAGTACGGATATCTTTACAAGGGTACTGTTTGATTTTAAGAGGGCCCACTATGGGTTCAAAATGTCTCAATTTCTATTCACAAGAAAAGTCAAAGTTAAACACAGCATCACCAAATGAGATCCCCAGAACACCTCCGAATATAACATAAAAAAACAGGAGGTATTAAAATGCATTCAGGATGATTTGACTTCAGACAAAGAGCGTTTCAAAACATACAAAAATTTCAGGCATCATTTATAACAGGCCATGATGTCAACTACATAATCAACATTATCCAATATACTTGTTTTATAATTGTGGGTGCATTTGAAATATGCACTTTTTATGCAGCACTTTTCACAAGACTCGGGAAGTCTTTTTCATCATCGACTCTTGGTGCTGTATCGCGATATTTCCTATCACCACCTCCTCTTCCACCACCACGAGGCGAATTTCCACGATAAAATCCACGACCTGGTCCGCGTCCTCTTCTATTACCACGACCACCTCGTCGATTATTATCATTAAACGTGATTTCAATATTCAATGTATTCTTATTTTTCTTTTTACGCTCTTCATGCTAGAATATAAAATTCATGTATTTATTGATTCATTAAATATAATGCATATCATCAATGTAAGCCAGCGCTTCAAGTAGGCCTTTAAGTAATATAATAATTAAAACTGAAATTCTATGACAGTTTAGCTATGCTTTGAAGAGTGAAATTTCAGTAATCTTTTATCTTTCAAGTGAAAAATAGATCACTTAGTATGCCGTTGATGAGACTAGAAATATCAACTCAGTCTCAGTTTGAACGTGGCATATGGCTTTTTCCAATTTTGACCTATACATGTACTTCAAAATCCAATCAAAACCGTTGTCACTTAAACAAAAGAGAGCCTTTGTGCCCTTGAAATATGAAGCATTAACTAAGTAAGGAATAAATTATTTTTATCTAAAAATGAGGAATAGCAATTTAACATACATCATCATCACTTTCTTCTTCTTCTGATTCTGAGTTCTTTCGCCTTCTCTCAGTTGTCGGTTTAGGAGGATTTGCAGGGTTGTTTACAGACTTCTTAATCTTAGTACCTTCCTTCCACTGTGATCCATCAACTCCTTCTCCTGCTTTACGAATCTGAAACTGGCTCCTTAATCTATTCTTGCCTTGAGATGCTCTGTATTCTTTTAGCGTCATTTGTTTTGGTTGGGCATCTTCTTCATTCACAGCTTCTGTAGTGCCTGGAGCTGGATCACCACTAACAAATAAAACAAGATTTAATTTGAAGTCTACATTTCTGACCGCAAACAAAGAATTTTAGAAAATACAAAAACATCTTAAAAGATTTCAAAACAATGAATAAGCTATAGATATCTAAGAAAACATCTAGAATACTAGAAAGTGGAACATTGCCAGATACTTTCAGATAAAATTGAGATAAAAAATATTAATTAATAATTTCAGACACAAGTTGCTACATTCCTGTTCCTTTAAACTAAGACTTCCTTGCCATTTTCCTTCTGCAACACCTAAAAAAGTTGCTTTCAATTTAGCACATAATATTAACTTCGGACCAGTTAACATTGATCACTATTTACCTTGTTTCTTGTGGTTCAACATTCTCTTCATTTTGATTCCAGTTTTCAGCTGTTTCACTTTCTTGAGGGACGCTGAAATAATTAAAATTAGAATATCATAAAATACGAGCAACAAAATCTTCAGTCTTAAATAGCACATGCAAAAGAAAACAATCCCCAGACACACCACCTAGCAACCACATCTCTGGATTGGTCACACGGTGGGGCCTACAATATACAGTACATTCTCAGAGATATGAACCTGAAAAAAATGATGCTACCACCACCAGGAATTAAACTACATAAAAATTGCTCAAAACAAAGTTGACTATGGTGATGCAAAATGTAATGAAAAAAAATGGGGAGCCTAACCTCTCTTCATTCATGTTCATCTTTATATCATCCTTGAATGATCCCCAATTTCTTTTTCCAAAACCCTCTCTCTTATCAACTGCTTTGACACCACTGAAAACATTTCACCAATTAATAAATAATGTAAATGATTTAAAACATGATTTTGCTATACGAATGCACTTTTGTCATTAAAGACTTTTTTTCTTTCATCTAGATGGGTCAAAAATCTGTAACACATTTTGCTAACATTGAATAATCATTATTTATTACTCTACTAATGTCAAAAGGGAGATTAAAAGTAAACTTCATTTGCATTTAACTTTTGAGAAAATAGTTTGATTTTCAAGATTTTTGACACTAAAGCATTCAATTTGAATTTCAAATGTAAACGTTATTCAGAGTAAAATAGCACTTTAAGTCTACATAACCTTGTAACTTTAGTATAATATTTTTTTCTGTGGCTTTCAAAGGACACACTTCATAATTTTTAAGTTTCAAAAAAATAAAATTCCTTATGGCTTGGAAGTTTAATATCAAGAACTTATTTATATAACCTTGTTTAACTTCATGCAACATACTAAGAAAAAAAAAGCATTGCAAGAAAGAAAAAAAAGATAAGCACTATATAGGTAGGTAAGCAAAAAATTGCGGGATAAAAGGGGATAATTCAAAGACAATTCAAAGTAAAATAACAGCAAAAGAATTACGTTTTGTCACTTCCACTGTGTCTGTCAAAGTCTCTTTTACCACTTCTCTCAAAGGGTGCTCCAAATCCCCCTCCTCCACCACCTCTTCCTTCTCCAAATCCACCTCGTCCTCTGTTACCACGGAAACCACCCCTGCCTCTCCCCCTTCCTCGTCCTCTATCATTATCACCATCGAATCTATTGAATCGACTTCCTTCTGGCTTTTCCCTGTAAGAATCAAAACATGTATCAGTTGTTTGATTTGCAACTTTGGATATTTGATGCAAATAAATTTTACTCTTGTAACTTGGATGTGGAATTTTTGGAATCAAAAAACATTTATGAAATATAACAATATGAAACCATAAACATTAATAATGCTAGTGATGAATTACCCAAGTTGATACAGTGCTTCCAAAATAACATATCATTGAATTGACAAAATTGGCGAGAAAAAGTTTGCTAACTATGGATAGATTGATGGAAAAATAAATTGTCAAAAAATATGTAACCAACCTGAATTCTAGAGGAACATTTTCATCACCACCTCTATTGTCTACATTATCTCTTGGTTTCCTGAAACCACCTCTCCTTTCATTCCTCTCTCCATCATTCTCTTTATTATCTCGCGACTCTTTATCACGGCCATCTCTATTTCCTCTACCTCCTCGATTAGATCTCTCCGATAGAGGAGCATCTTTTTGAACTGAAAAATATTTATAAATGATTTGTCTGGTATACAGGTATGAACATTACCAAGCCTACAGCTGTGCAGGTTACTTGTAAGATTTCATATCCTGTGTTTACTATATGCAATGCAGACTTGCCATTGTATTTTCAATCTCCTAATAACTGTTCTTAGAAATTCACCACACTTCCGTCAAATTTGAATTTTACTCAGAACTGGGCTACCTCAATTCACTACATCAAGTTGCGTGAAGACTTTGGAACTAGAACATTTCTCTATTTTGATCTAAAGGTTATTGACTTTTTGATACCAAGCACAGTTCAACTGTGATGCTACAAGAAGGCATAATCTCTAGCCTACTGAGAGAGTTAAGTACCGATACTAGAAGTCTAGTTTCCAAAACTTAAGCTATTCATTAACTGCTAAAATAAAATGTTTTACATCCTACTTTTCACTGCAGTTAGGCCTAATGAAGACAAGGATCATCATGCAGTGTGCAACGTGTGGAATTTCTCTCTATATATAGGTAAAGGTAACTATTAGTATTAACTTAACTATCTACAATTAGCAATTTGACGACAGAATTACTGTACTTCAAAAACTGTAAGAGGGAAGCATTGTACATACCGGTAATTCAATTCTTAGATTTAAAATCTTGAAAATACTTGCATCCTCTTTAATGTGACAAACTGTTAGGAGTCAAGGCCAGGTCAAACTATTGACTTACTCCTCAGAATGTGCCAGACCAGGCTTAACAATGCATGCAATCATTCCAAACCAATGGTAATGACAACTTCTATACCAATTCTAGGTCATTTTATCCAAACTACTTCAGGAAAATCCATACCACCATAAACAGTTTAACTTTTGCTTAAGTATTTCTCAGCCTCGTGGCCGTGGCTCGTGATTCAACATTGTTTGGCACAAAATGAGGGTCAACATGTATTTCGTATCAATCTCAACATTTTACAGCACAACACTAGTGCAGTGCGACATATCAACTGAAACTACTACAAAAAACAATACATAAATATACAGCACTAACCTTCTTTTTTGTTGGTGTTTTGGTCGTTCTTTTTATCCTTGGTTTCCGTGTGAGGGGTGGACTTCTTCGTATTTTGTTTATTTGAGCCCAGCTTGGGTTTCTCGCCCTCTACTGCCTTCTTCGTTTTCCCAGAATCAAGTATTTCGTTGAAACTGGTAATGTCAAATTTGTTGGACACATTTACGCCGTATTGGAGGTCCATTGTCCCCAGATTAAAGAGGATGGCAATGGATTACAACCACGGCTTTACCTGTAAACAAGTTCAATGCTTCAAAATGGCGTGCACAGAGCACAGTGACAGCGCATGCTTGGTAACCTTTGATAGGGGGTATCCTATGATGTCATAAAGCCATAAATGGACTGATGGCGGGAACAGAATATCTTAGATGAAATAAGATTGAAAATAAGAAATAAAGCCTGAAAACTTTGTACATATAGTGTCGCACATATTCATAAGACTTTATAGAATAAACCCCGAAATTTCTCTATCTCAAAATGACTCACATATAAAAAAAATCGATGGCCTGTTAACATAAAATATGATGCGCGACTTCTAACTTCGCACGCGCTATTTATAGATATATTTACAGGTATCAACATGCATGGGACATTATTTACTGAGATGTTAATAGACGCGTAGGGCTGAAAAGATATGATTATCTCTCTGGGGTTCGATAAAACAAGTTCACATTTTTAAAATGCATCCAATAAATTGGAGTAATGGAATACACCTGGTTCAACTTTCGACAGAAGATGAAGGGGATTCCAGTACATCCGACAATGGTGATAGTTCTAGAGAAAATTCCCTAAATATTAAAAGGGGCAGACCAAGATCAGATGCAATATCAACTTTAATTTCGGAAGGTGTCTCATCTGAGAGTGATATCAGATGTAAAATTTGTGGCCGAGTGTTTCCCAGAGAGAAGTCATTACAAGCGCACCTGAGAACTCATACAGGTAAGATGAAACATGATAGTTTTGTATTGTATAATTTATGACAAGTGCATTGTATTCACTTTCACACTCCAATACTTTCAACATCTGTTCTAACGTTTGACACATTTTTACACACAGCCATCTGCAGCATTTAAAGATGCACTGTGAGTAAAGGTAAATTCAAAGGTCTTTTTTTCATAGTCTAAATTTAATATGGTCTAATTTACAGAGAAAGTCAGAATTTTACATCTTTATGTTTTTGGAATTTAATAACCTTAATTCTAGAATTTAATCATTCAGCAACGTTCCAACTTTCTTCAGAATGTAACAAAAGGAATTCATGGACTTTTATATACTACGGAATGGAAATGTAGTAAAACGGGATTTTTTTAAATGCCAATATTGGCAGAAGGCCAGAGACGCCTATTAATTATCGAGTTTCTGACTACAACCTAATACGATCAATAAACAGGTAAACATAGAACAAAGACAATATCAACAAATCAATAGTGTTCAATATTGATTCCTTTCTTCCATTCCATTTTTACCATTTTTAAGATACGCATGAGTAATCTGGACATTGACAGGTGATTTCTTTTGATTGTAACTTCAGTATTAACTACCTGTTCTTAATCAATAACAATTATTGTACAACATATCGATTCCTAACGTTTATTAATGACGAAGAAATTAAATATACAATTATATAAAGACAATGTGATCTTTAAATAACAGTGCTGCGAAGATAGGTAAAGGAATGTCATTTAAACATGTTGTGACAACGCTAAATAACAACCGATAACAGGCGTGTATCAGCATGACTTGTGTCCAAAACAAATAAACACAAAGAGGTATTATATATACATGGTCTATAGGGAAGTATTTCTATAGATAAATATATCATCAAAATCAATTGATTTTTTGTTAAAACCCCCTTTTTATTGTATATTGTTTATAAAACATGTTCATACTCAATTCAGGTAGATCTTCTCAGGTGTTAAGACTTGTAGTGCCTGGTCAATTTACCGTTATAAAAAGTCACGTGACACTAACTCGATCTATTGACAATTTAGAATATGAAGCCAGGCGTGAGTAAGTTATAAACTGGATCGATAGCCAAACTAATAGAAAGAACTTGTCTCATGAAATTTACATTTACCATTAATATTCAAACATACAGGCCTAATGTTCTATTCACATCGAGTTTCTGAAAGGAAGATATACATACAAAGCTAATTACCAATATAATACATTCTAATATTATATAATAGGTCTACTCTTAAACAGGGAATATATTATCATAACTCTGACCTACGAAGTAAAGAATGACCATTTCGAAATTTTGAAATCCCAAATCGGTCCAATAAGATTTGTTATAAATATAACTTTTGAATATCCCCCATTTGGCTACTCCGGTATTAATGCCGGTATTAATGCTCATGCCACAAAAGTTTTAGACCTCTCAGTCTCGCACAGAAGCATCTAGTTATATGCTGCTTGAAATGAAATGAAATGAATGGAGTTTAACGTCCTACTTTTCTGCACCATGTGGGCTAATGAAGACGGGCAACGCCATGTAGGATGCAATTTAATGAGGGAAGTTTTGCCAGGACAGCGGCATTAGCCTGCTCTTTTTCGATTTCCAACTGTCGAGGGATCTTTAACGTGCACAGCCTGTAGCACACGGTGCCTCGGTTTATTGTCCAATCCGAACGACTAGACGCTTTTTCCATGTCAGCCCTTCTCACCTGCATCACTGACAGGGTTGAAAAATCCGAAGGTATTATCTCGACCTATGCCGGGATTGAACCCTGGACCTTCAGGTTAGCGAGCAAGCGTCTAACACACTGAGCCATTGAATATGCTGCCTGAGCAGCTCTTATCGACATGGCATCATTTGAGACCTTCCAATGTATAAACCCATTTTTGTGGGTTCGCATGGGCTGCCCAATATTATCACTGTGACTACAAACCACAACCCATTGCCCCAATCAAGTCTGGCTACGGGCCTGCTTGTATAGGTAGACATAAAGTTGTGAAAAACATTGATCACATAATCAATAACTTCGAGGATGAGCTTACATCCCATTTTAAATACCGTACGGAATTCTGTTAATCCTAATCCTAGACCTATTGGTATATTTCAGGAGAGAGACCATATAAATGTAATTTCAACGGTTGTGGCAAAGCCTTCTGTCAAAGTGGTCAGCTTAAAACACACCAACGTCTTCATACTGGAGAGAAACCTTTCAAATGTTCCGTAGAAGGTAAGGAAAAGCATCATATTTAGCGCCGGATATAAAGCTTAAATTCTGAGGAAGAAAATTTCTAAAACCTACCACGTGGAGAAAGGTGGTGTTTAAGTATGTATCTTCTGATCATATTCTTTGTTGACGGTTTATAATGTTAGCGCTGGCAAATTGGACATAATAGTTTTTCATGATAGTTCAAATGTTCAAAGAGATAACATGGACTTATGTACATTTTCAGGCTGTTCCAGTAGATTTACACATGCCAATAGGCATTGCTCAGATCATCCCTACGCTTCACTTCAACGACAAAAATCATCATTACATACACCATCGTCATCACCTTCCAAATCATTGGCGCCATTAGTAGAAGTTGAAGTGGCCAGCCCGATAAAACGTTGGCTAGCAAGGTAATTAGAGCAATTGCTCTACCTCTTTACAATCTCTTTAACAATCATCATGGTAACATAAGTCATGAGATCACTTTCATTTATGGTTAGTTTTATAAGAATCCACACAAAATCGGTGTTGTTTGTCATTTTTTGGGATCATTACAACTGGTATAGGAAAAGGAAAACTTTCAATCATTTAATATCTTCTCCAATATTTTGACTGGTTTATTTAATTTCAGACATGAGGCAATGGCATGTGATGATTCATTCAGTAAAGTATCATCATCTCATAAACGTAAATTAGAAGATACCATAAGTGTTCAAGACATCAGCCCTAATAAGGTAGCCAAACAGGTACATTCATCAACTCATACAGAACACAGAGAATGGATTTCTGCCCTGGCCTTGATGGAATTGTCGAAAGGAGGAAGTCAAGAGTAACAACTGCCATTTGGGATTCAGCATTTTAGTGCTAGTTATTTTTCTAATTTTTGGTCTCATGTTGTTTTTGAAGCAATAACTGATATATGTGTAATATTGAGTAATATAGGTAAATTGATATTTTTAGGCATTCTTAAGTATAATGGACATTTGGGTTTTATTTTGTGCCATAGAATTTTTACATTTAAACATTTAAAGATGGGTTCCCTTATTTTCATTTATGAATATGTTAATACTTATATGATAGAAAGTAGAGGGTTTCTAATGACTTGGAAAAATACCAGTTTGTCTCACATGTCCATAATTAATTCATAATTAGCTAAATTAGAAGAGAATTACCAGTGAGTGCCCGATCAAGAAACTTTACTTACATGGACATTTATGATTGGTTAAAACTTTTAATTATATGCAATAAGAACATAATGCTATGATTAAGAATACATGATAATTCATTAGAAACACCAATTAATCTTATAGTTTGCTTAATTTGAAACTAAAAAATTAGGAAACCCATCTTTAAAATGAAAATTACAATTGCTCCAAGTCAACATTTTTATTATAAATTTTTTGACTCTAAAGGTGACAAAATGCACTTCATACTATTGGCGTTATAAAGGCCCTTATGTTATGAAAGAAACAAAATTAGAAGAATAACAAAGCTAATCCCAACATACTGCTGCTGATGTGTTCAAACTAATATTATTTATTATATAATCTAGAGATATGAATTGTTATATAATCTGCCGTCCATTCCAGCATAACATATATTCATAATGAGCCAGATTCTAATGATCATCCACTATTATTATATTATAAACATCTCTCTAATATTAAATTTGAACAGGCTTTCTTTCTTCAACATTGTAAACTATATGGTGCTTTTATACAACATTACTTAAACAGAATCAAGTTTCTACAAATTGGTTGCTTCTATAGCATCTTTAATTAGGAAGAGACTCTCTTAAACATCTTTCCTTGTCAGAATTTTCAGAAACTAATTAATATTATTAATTTTATAATCACTATTCATTATCATTAAATTATCAGACTTCCAACATAGAGCACAATTATACCATCATATTTATGATCATTGGCCACAAGCATACAAATCATTCAATCAAAGGACAAAAAAAATTCTTAAGCAATACAAAGATCGACATTCATTCCAATGTGTTCATAAATAGTTATTACTGCTCTTTAAGTAAATGAATGGTGCAATTTTTATTTTATTTCCAATGAATTATTATTATTATTGAAATATATTTATTACTATATAGTGTTTTTGATGTTAGTATTTATTAAGATTGTAATAATTGTTGTTTATCACTTTACCGTCCAGGATATCACCTACCGTTATTTGTGATGTATATGTATGTATGTATAGATGATTCTAGAATGTCCACAAAATAGTCAGAACCTGAAACATGTGGTCATGAGTTTCACGCTGTGTGATCTCCGGACAACTGACCTATTTCAGAAGGTGTATTGCTCTTCTTTTAATATACATGTATTGAGCACTTTTTGAACAGTGAAAATATTTTGTAATTGTCTCCATCAAAATATGATAATTATGTCCTCATGTTTTCTTCTTTTGCACTGGAATAAGCAATGGCTAGGCTAAGTCCTTTTAATTACAATGAATATTCCAATTCAAGACAAGAGTTTTTCTGTATGTAATTGTTATGTTTATGTGGATATTCTTTATATTAGTAGATTGTTGGTCAGGTCTATGTTTATTCATAATTGGGATTATGACTGACTCATAGATTTTTTATCTTATATTTGCTGGTGCTATTTTTAAGAGACTAGATGCTTTTTTTTTTAAATATTTTCATTGCCGTCCAGTGACTTTAAACTTGAATTCATCAAAGATTTACATTGTCATCTAATCACTGTATGCTTGTTTAAAATTTGGTTTGACAGAAAAGTAGTACCGGTAAGAAAACTTCACTTCATGCATGAACAGCATTCATCAATAATAATTTTTAATTAAATCGACAAATTTTTCTTTTAGTGTGTAAGAAATGTCGAGTTCAACTTCAGTTTCTTCCAATTAAAAACATTTCCATTTCTTGATTATGTTTTTATCACTAATCATTATCAATCCATTTGCATTTGAATTCCATTTATAGTGCCTATTTTCACTATATTTATAACAAACACTGCCAAAAAATAATCAAGCATATGTCAGCTTTGTGATTCAGAAATATTTCCTCATTGAATTAGTTGCATTCCTTATCTAAAATAATTCCATATAATGTCAATCTAAATGTTCATTTGATTCATTTTAATCTTTGTATATTGTGTGATTGTGTGCTAACAGTGTTCATTTTGCCGTCCAATATTTTCCATCCAATTTAAGTGGACAAACATAATATACAATAACAATTTTAATAATAAACTTTGTGTTTTATTGTACTTTTTTACATTTTTTTTTTCTTTTTTTGTAACATTTGGTTAATTAAAAAAGATTTGCTATATATATATATAAGTTTTTTCTCTTTCCAGTAATTCAATAATTTCAACTAAATATTCTTTTATGTTTTCAAAGAAACTCCACAATCAAACTTTCTATCCCATAATTTTCAGTTATCAAAGTATTACATCAAATGTTGCAATAACTGCCATGAATCAACTATGCAATATTAAGTATTTTGAGATGAGAACGCAGTAAATTTATCCAAAACCATTCATTTGCATTTGCATTACCAATTTCCCTATCAACCTAATAATATGACAAGACACTGAAATGGTATCAACCAAACTATATTCAATAATGTGCTGGCACCACCAAGAGGTCTGACTTAGAAATATTAAACTTGTTATTAAACTGGGCCATTTACATGAGTACCACTATTCCTCCAGAGGTTCTATCTATTATAGATACAGACACAGTGTTAAGTTTTTTTTAATGAGAATTATTAGAGTTATCTAAATCATGGTCATCAGGATGATATAATTCACTGAGTAATCTATATACATAAGATGGGGCATTACCACCACTGAAATATACAAACAATCAAATCAAATTACTTGAAGGAAAATCAAATTCAAAAGTCTTTATCGCAAAAAAACTTTCCAACTGGGCCAATAGACTGATTGCTTCAATTTGAAAAAGTATCGTTTACATAATTCAAATCAGTCACATTCACAAATGTTGAAATATTAAACACTCGCAAAAACATCTCAAAGCATCGTCTCTTTAGTGTAGAAAAAAGAATGCATTTGTTAACTTACATGTTTGAGATAAATAATGTGACTAACTCTGGTGGAACATAATCAAATACTGGATTGTGAATCTGGGCTTTAGCTAGAATTTCACCCTCAGAAAAAGGCAATACTTCATGTGGACTCACAAACTTGTTAAAGGCATCCTGAAATATTCCACAGCCAAACCATTAACCTCATCCAATGTTAATGTGTCATAATGTGGATAATCTTAGAAAGATCAAGGCTCAAGGACCAGCTGGTAGACAGGATCCTCAAGAACCTAAGTTGTATATTTGTGGAAAAAAAGGATTTTTTGGAAATTGGAAATTACTTTCACAGAAGTACAATGTAAGTTGTTTATCATCAGGAAATGTCAAGTTAATATTGTTCAAAATGAACAATGAAAAAATAAAATTCCCAATCTCATTATAAACAATATTAACTGGTTTTTCAAAACTGCTAATTTCTTATATATTTACCTGGTCATAGGAACAGAGGTATTGTGGTGATAACTTAAACATGGCTGCACAAACAATAAGCTGAAATGATATAAAAGTATAATCTATGAGACCAATTTAATTAATCAAATCTATCTGAAAGGAAACCACAAGGATATGTGAAGCAAATTTAATAATTATATAACTCACTGGAACAGAATAGTGTTTGGCTGCAAGAGCTATAGCATGACTTCCATTGATGGCTTTTAATCTGAAATATATTAATTAGTTTTAGAAATGTAAAGTCATATTGCCGAATTATGAAGACTGGAAACACTATGTTGTGTGCAATAACAACAATTTTTGTGCTGTGTACACAGTATAGCACACTGGTTAAGACCAGATTTTTTTCCCCATTCAAATGATTAGATATTTTTCCATTTCAGCTGTTCATTCTGAAATTGCAACACTGACATGGGGAAATCAAAGTGCAAAGTTCCTATATTGACCTCTGAGAAGTGCCTAAATAACTGAGTTCCTTTTAACAAAGACATATATGATGAAATGGATAACAATACTTACCCTCCATTAGCCATAACTGTATGAGTTCCAATAATAACTTTATTAACTCTAGACATGATAGCAAATACAGCTGTATCATTAATTACCATAGTTTCTATACCAGATTTAGCCAAACTTAATGCTAATTCTTGACCCTGATATTCACAATATAAATTTCTTATCAGTATAATAATATTATAGAGAATGGACTTACTATAATTATGTTGGGTAATTATATTAGAACATGAATGTACAATTTGAATGTACAAGTAATTATGATTGTGATGTCATAATGTGACTAGATTGTATCAAATACAAATATTTTTCAATATTATATGACAAATATACTCACATAATAAAATGGTGCACATTCAACAACTATCACTTGAAACTTTCTCTGTTTGGCTGCATTCTGTAAAATAACATATCAAATACATATGCAGTTTTCAATACTTGAGTGACATACCTTAGGTGACAAGTGATAACATATCTGGTCAGAATTTAAGGAAACAGATATCGTAACTTATATTTGGATGCGCTTCAAAATCTCCCCATAATGCATGTTGGTATCGAAGGAAGCAATGCAACTATTATTAGAATTTGGAGTGCTATACCATTAATACTCATAAACAATCCAACTCAACCTTGTATGTTATTAAAAGAGAGGGATTATTTGAAAATAATCTAACTTACTTTTAAAAATTCTTCTACAGTTTTTGATTTTCCACAGGTCATAATAACTTCATTAGCATGTATATGTTCTAAAGCCTGAGCTGATATATTCTCAGCACTGAAATTAAATAACAAAATGAAGAGTTCAGGTGTCTGATGATTGCACAAAGTTTTGATATACATAGTTCTTTGCAAATAATCAATAAACACCTTATTGTTTAGAATATATGTTCTCATATATACTGATAAACAACAAAATAAAGTATCATTTTCAATAAAAGATATGGACAAATACCTTGTTTCTAATTCTGATTTTAATTCTGATACAGCCTCTATGACAGATGCCTAAAATATTAAAATTAATCAATAAATTTGTGCCATAAAAGTCAAAATATACATAAAATTGATAATTATCAATTGAAGAAAATCAACCAAATTAAAGAAAATAAAATTCTGCCATTGGTGTTACAGTACTGCACTGCATTTCCAAAATAGAAAGTTTCAAAATCATTGATGAAGCACATTAAAAGATTGGAATAAAAGACTGCCTACCTTTAATGTTGGTGTTTGTGAACTGAAATCTTCAGCTTGTTTTTCTGATAACAATAATTTCTGAAAGGACAACATTAATCAAATATGGATCATCATTACTGAAGAATTTGTGAGAAAGTCTTGTCGATTATGGTATCTATAAAAATGGAATTAAATTTGAGGATAACTTACATGAAGTGAATCTTGAGATTCTTCTTCTTCTGTAGTACCTCTTGAAGCACTGAAATACAAAACTGACTTTTGAATTAAGGTCTTTTCTCTTGACTTATTCGAAGTCAATGAAGATCTTGTACACAAGTAGCATAATCATTGCTTTCTGAACACTCTATTTAGTAATAATAAATAATAAAAATCACCTTGTATATTCTTCTCTGATTATTTTTAATATTCTTCTCACCATATTACCTATAACTGTCTCTGATGGCTGGGATGACATTAATCTTTTACCTTCACTTTTCACGATATTCATCAAATCTCTGAATCGAACATATAAAATCTGCTTTAATCACATTTCTATGTTTGCTAATATGCTACATAGAATTATTGTTGAATTTAAATAGAAGTCAGTTAGCATAATAATAAAATAAGTATACTTACAATGCACTGGTCCATTTTGTCTGAGCTATAATTCTTACTAATAAATTTACTGTATTGCTGGCAACACTGTATGAACCTTGTTGGTTTCTGCAAAAAAAAAATTCTTATCTACTAATCATTATAGTAGCTTTCTAGTCAAATACGTAGTTGGCAGCCTAGTTCTCCTTACTGTCTAAATAGGCCAAAAGAGCCACTTTATTCGCAAGTAAAATGCATCATCTGATGTAAATGCAATTCTAATTTACTCTCTACACAGGCAACAGAATCATTCATTAGGAGAGATGGATTTGGAATGGGATGATTAGACTTGATTATCAAATTTCATAAAATCTTCAAGGTAAAAGTCAATACCCCAACTTCATGTCTTTAGTAAAAGATTCTATTCTCTCTTCAAGCTTCTCTGTATCACCGGCTGGCATTTTCACTGTGTAATAGACGACAGTAAGCAAAATATGATTTAAAAAACTGAAATTGGGTGATGAAAATTTACTCTTATCGGTTGTCTCCCCTTTTTGATAATTTTGATTATCCAGACACGCCAAAGAAATTCTAAAACAAATCGCGAGACTGGATAATAAAGAAAAGAGATAAACCAATATGGCTGCGCCCATTGAATCAACAAAAACAACAAATTAATTTTACTGAAGACAATCTTGTCTTTGGACAGCAGGAAATTATAAATAGTAGGTAGAATGCTGGTAACTTAACCTGTGTGATATAGTCGTATTTGATGACCCACAAATTTGATGGTTTGGAAATGGGTCTATTCAGAGTCAAGAGAATTCATTATAATGTCAATGAGCATGATTATTATTATTAGAATTTGAAGATTATGTCTTTCTATTATCTGTGTATGATTGTGATTTGTCATTGAGTGTCTGAACACGTGTTCTCATGTAGATATTTTTATCATTTTGGTATATTTCATTTTGCTATATTACAGATCAATTAGCCTAGTTCTCAGCAAGAAGTTATTCACCATGGCATTAGGAAGCGATGTACGAGATATCCTGGATCTTGAGACTCCAGACAAAGATCCTGTTACAAAGGAGTCTCTTATGAATGACAGCAAAAAGGTAATAGATTATTATAATACTTAAGTTTACTGCTTGGATAATTAATTATTCAAGATGAACAATTGAAGATATGGTATATTTATATTGTTGAAACAGTGTCTATCACATTGAATTCATTGTTATGAATGATGAGTGTTTTACGAAAGTAGTAAATAACCTAATATCATTATTTTTTTTATGTTTCTAAACTGTATTTTGTAGAAAAAAGTGAAGAAACCAGAAGCTAATGCCAGGAAGCCAGAAGGAATGCATAGAGAATTGTGGGGATTGTTATGGACAGACAACAAGTATTTTCACATTTTGTTCCTATTTTTGATATTGATATTGATGTCATTTTCATTTGTATTAGAATATAATAAAAAAATTTGGCCTGAATATTTTTCTACTTGGCATTATATGTTAATTCTTGAATGTTACATGGTAATAAGTATTTAAAAAAAAATATTATTTAAATTTTGTATTCTTTTGTCTTCCAGGAGAGATGGCCCACCTTTAGTTCCATCAGATAATAAACAAGGTTATAAACAGATGAAAGCTAAAATAGGCAGTAGTAAAGTTAGACCATGGAAATGGATGCCCTTTACTAACCCAGCTAGAAAGGTAATAAAACTTAATTTTCATTCAATTCTCATTTAGAAGTTTCAGTTTCCAATAAAATTTATTTGACATGAAACACAAAATTTAAAAATATAGATTGAGATATTGAAGTAGATATGAAGATTTATGTAAAGTCTGATTATATCAAATTTCAGGATGGTGCTATATTTTACCATTATAGAAGAATAGCAGATGAAGGAAAAGACTATCCCTTTTCTAGATTTAATAAGGTAAATTCTGTTATAAATTTCGAAAGAATCACAAGCATTCCTTCTGTCTGTCATTACATCTATTAGTTATGTTGCAATAAAATATAGAAAATGTCCTGTGAAAAACATACATGAGTGATACTCAGTGATACACATGATACTCAGTGTTGAAGTTCAGACACATCATTGGTATGCGTAATCCGTAATAAAATATGTTTATATTTTCAGACTGTTGATGTACCTACTTATTCTGATTTAGAATATCAGCAACATTTACATGATGATAGTTGGACTCGTATAGAAACTGATACATTATTTGATATGTGTAAACGATTTGATCTACGATTTATTGTGATTCATGATAGATGGGATAAAGAGAAATATAAAGAGAGGAGTGTAGAAGATTTAAAAGAAAGATATTATAATATTTGTAATATACTGAAAAAGGTATGTTGTCATGAGAAGGGAACTTTAAGTGTTTGTTGTTATCTTTATTGATCTTACTTGCTTTAATGTTAAAAATCTTTTTTTCTCAAACATCAGATTTAAAATACTGTTATTGATAAAATGTCGAGGATATCTGTAACAGTTAATCTTATGGTTGGACAATGCCATGCTGTTGATAGACACTCTTTAATTCCTTGGATTTTTTTGAGACAAAATTATGCTTCATTATATCAATGTACAAACATATATTTACAAACTTGTGGTGTGTTTTGTTAGGTTAGGGCTCCAGTAGGTACTGAACCTAAAATAAAAGTGTTTGATGCAGAACATGAAAGAAGACGTAAAGCTCAACTTACCAAATTGTTTGAAAGAACACCCGAACAGGTAGGATGAAAATTGGTACTTGTATATTGTAGAATTGCCCATTTATATAAATTTCATGATTTTTCTCTCAAATTAAATTTCATACAAATTTTGCTATTAAAAACAAATGGCAAATCAAATTATGTTATTCTTACAAGTTCAGATGAAGTGAAAAATGCTATGAATATGTGTATGTAATAAACAAATCAGTACTCAAAAACAGAATAACTGAGTCAACCTATCTATGGTGTATCCAGGGCAATATGTTATCATTATTATATTCCAGGTTGAAGAAGAAGAGAATCTAATAGCTGAATTAAAGAAAATTGAATTAAGAAAGAAAGAAAGAGAAAAGAAGACTCAAGATTTACAGAAGTTGATAACAGCAGCTGATAGTAATATAGATTCTAGAAGAACAGATAAAAGAATTGCGAAGAAGAAATTCCCACCAATCAAAACAAAAGAAGGCATGATGATCAAGGTGAGTTACGACGTCAGTTGAAGGTTTCATCATTATTCATACATAAGCTCTATCTTATCTTGATCTATACTAAGGCTGTGACTATTTGCTGCACATAAATTCAGATTGTTCCTAAAATTCCTAAGGAGCACAGCTGAAAAGTTTAGTACTATACTAGTCTGGATTTTACTTTTTGCTTTTCATTCCTTTCTGAAATTACTATTTTCAGTCCAACCCTGAATCTTGTGGAATCAAATTCCCTGATTTTAAACAGTCTGGTGTTTCCTTGAGAAGTCAGAGGGTAAGTGGAACCGTTACATAGATTATGTCATCTGCCAGTTTCTGATTCTATGAGGTATGGTAGTTTACATCAACAGCAAATCATAGGTGGAACAGGAGACCAATTATCAGTATACATTAGTGTTGTCCTGTAATATTTTATTTTTTATTTTAAAGATGAAGTTACCAGCATCTATAGGTCAAAAGAAAATGAAAGCTATAGAACAAGTCTTAGGAGAATTGGGTATAGGTAAGTTATGAAATATACACTACACATACATGTCTGCTTGTGTCAGTGAAGAACTCTGATTGTTACTGACAGAGAAGCACTACACATCTGTGAATTTACCAAAACAAATGATACAGGAAATACATTCCTACCAATGCAGCGTTATCTGACTAAGAGCACAAATATTTTCTGATTTAATATGGCTTTTACATAAATTTTTTTGTCAATTTTAGAGTTCAATCCTATACCAACAGACGATGTAGTACAGAATTTTAATGAATTGAGACAAGATATTGTTTTATTGTATGAGTTAAAGATAGCCCTAGCTAATTGTGAATATGAACAAGAAACATTACGTCATAGACTAGACACTTTAAATGGTATAAAGGTAGGCAACTTAACTGTTTTTGGATCATTCCAAAGTTTCCACTAAGATTTGATCATTTCCATTCAATTGATCAGGTTTGAAGAAAATAATGATCATACTGAATTAGGGTTTCTTCTATTTACTCAGTTTTAAACATATCATTTATATTTTAAGATGGAACATTGATTGGTAACTGTCCTAACCTACTCAGTTATGCACATATTTTTATTTATTTGTGAATGATAGTTTTCCTTAACTACCGAATATTGTACATGTTGCTTCTATTTTTAGACTGAACCCCTGGATCCCTCTTCTGCTCCACCAACACCATCTGCTCTAGATACATCATTACTAAATATATCTACTGGTAGCTTGACACCACAGATACAGGTCACAGAACTACATGAGGAATCACCCAGGATAAAAACAGAAGCTGTTGATGTAGTTGGTACAGATTCTTCTATAACTCCTAATGTAAGTTTCAATATTTTAGCATTCACAGGTTGTCATTTAACATTTACTTACACCTTGTCTGCATTTTAGAGATATATTATTTTTATTCTAACTCAAGGGATCTGCACCTACTATAGCAAAAATGTAATCTAAGCTGAGATTGAACCTTGGTCACGAGGAATTTCCTCTACAAGTCCTTGTGTCCCATGTTGAATCAGTAGCAACTGGATATACAAATCTTCTAATAATCATATATTTCAGAGGAAAAGAAAAGCAGCATTAGAACAGAGTAATTTAATGAGAAAGATCAAACAGAAAGCCTAGATATTGAATATCTATATGTTATATATATATAGTGGTTATATTAATTGTTGTCATTGTAATATACATCATATTCATATTCAACTGTAATAAATACATTATACATCTTCTTATCTGAGAATAGTTTTTCCTTCTTTCATACTGCAATTTTCAGTATTGTGGACACATTTGTGCACTGGAACAGCCTATGATATATTGAGGTTATAAAACCATACAACTATATGTTCTACCAAAACAAATTCACTAAATAATCTGTTATCTCTCAGAGCATACTGCCCTACTTCTCCTAATGACTGATTGAATATTATAAATAATGAAATGTATGAATGTTCTAACAAATTGCACACACATTTTTAGATTTAAGTGCCTAATAAAATGATATACTGTATACTATTAGATCACCATTCAATAATCTATTTGATAATAATTTGATGATGATAATTTATAACAAATTTGTCAAGTAAAACAAAGGATAATATAGTTAAATACAATTAATATATGACAGTACATCAAAAGTATGTGTAAAAGCAGCACATGTAGGTAAAAATTATCAAAAATAGGTTTTGTTATAGGGTAGTTTTAAAGCTGTACACATTTTGTAACAAAGAAGTTCCACAGACTTTATTTTGAAAGTTCCACAGACTTTATTTCGAAAGTTCCACAGACTAATTTCAAAGTTTTATAGACTTCACTTCCAAAGTTCCGCAGACTTAACTTTCACAATTCCACAAACTTTCAAAGTTCCATACTAATTTTTTAAGGGTCACAGACTTTAATTTCAAAGTTCCACAGACTTTATTTTCAAAGTTCCCCAGACTTCATCATCAAAGTTCCACAGACTTCATCATCAAAGTTCCACAGACTTCATCATTGAGGTTTCACACATAGAATAGTAATTCAACAGATGTGAAATTCTTTAAAACAACTAATCTTAATCACTTGAGATTCTACAGATTCTAAATCAATCCTCAGAACAATTCTTCCTATGCTACTATCAAAATAGTGAAAATTGGAATCCAAATTGTATGGATTATTGTCATATACTTTACTTAGAGATATTTCCCTCTTCATATAATTTATACACCAACTGAAAGAGAAGGATCTGGTTATTATATTTGGAAGTAGGGGAATACATATCAACCGTTTGTTCAAATGAGCTCTTCAATCTGACAACTTAAAATATCATCACTCTATAAAACATGTATTGCTTGACAATCTCAGCATCAAAATTGCTTCAGTTTTTTCCTGATTTATTTTCTCATTTGCCTGCATGTATTAGAGATAAATTCTAATCTCAGACAGAGTATAATGGGTAGCGTGCATTTCTTACAAGTTATTGGAAACCTTTCAGCATATTTCTCATAAAAGAGTGATAACATATTTTAAGCTAGTCCAATAAATATTAACATTACTTACACTTTTAAATTTAGTGGCTAGGTTATCAATAAATGTTTCTGATGTTTTCCCTTGTGGTATTAAAGTACTGAGAGCACGACCAGGTTTCTCTCTGTCATATTTCTCTTCTAGACCACGTGGTATATAGTCTGTATTAACATCCACCTAAAATATCATTGTCACAGTTTTGAAAATTGATTCAAAAGGATGTAGGGGAACTTTACATAAAAATATTCCGTTCTCAGTGAAATCATGGGGATATCAGGGTTACTGGATTGTTACAAACCAGTAAAATGCAGCTCCAAAGTATTAGATTTCTTTCAGAGAACATTCGAAATATTTTGAATTTACCAGAACAAAAAGTTTTAAAATATCTAAGAAAATGCCAAAAAGAAAAAATTCAGGTACAGATGGCATTCCTATTTTAGAAATTTTTGTGATTTTCTTATCAAGAATAAAATGATATCAACATTTAATGTGTATGAGTTGACTTACCAATCTATTCATAGGAACATCAGTAACCAGTTCATCTTCTCTTCTAGCATCACATATTCTTACAAATAATGATGATCCTTCTAGTAGTCGAATCTAGGAAGCAAAATATGGGACATAAAAATCCGATTAGAAATGGAAATCTTAGGTAATTAAGGGATTATCAGATTGACGAGTTGGTAATCAAGTTATTGTAATACCATGCAGTGATTGATGGCTTTATATTTCATTTCATTAAATTTTGCATTTGACAGACATTGAAAGCCATGTAGCGGCTAACCTATACTTGATGTCCGATAGAGGATATTGACCGTCGGTCATATGAGCAGCCCTGTCATGTCCGGCATATAGAGCCAAATCAACAGCCCTGTGTTAACCAAAATTCAAAAGACCACAAAGAATGGGAACTATAGAGTTTCTCAGCTCTTAACCATCTTCCTGATTTGACCCAATTTTTTTTTTTTAATCATGTAATGTGCTACTTAGATATATTCCAATTAAAAATGTCATTGTCCTTTTATCAATACTTACATTATGGCTTCTAATATTTCTTTCCATCCATTCTTTACAAGGCTCTCTAGCTAACTGTTTGAGAAATTGTTGATTAGGTGAACCTTTAAATAATGGTAGTTGAAATGATGTGGTATAGGTATAATTCTCTTTAAATATCTGTACCACTGTCCAGGCCTAGAATATACATATAAGAAATAGAGATTGGCTGTGCGACCTGTTATCCCTGATTATCAATGACTAGTTTGTGTTTGGAATCTTCAGACTGATATTAGACTCACCTTGCGGGGTTCTATTTATACTGTTCATGGACCCCAGTGGAAGGTTACGGGGGTATGGGTATTTTATGGGTAAAATATATATAGTCAAATAATACCATCTTGATAGTTTATTAAGAGCTATATAAATATACCTACATAAAACTGGTAGGAGTCTAAGAAGTTTTGGAAAAAAAAGGCTCCAATGAAACAAACATTTCGAGGAAAAAGGAAGATAAGTGCTCTTTTTAAGTAAAAGAAAGAAATAACCATTTTATTAAGGATGTACTACCTAGTCCTTGGCCAAATTTGTTTTGACTGATTGCCTGTACTATTTGCAACCAGGTTACTGGAATAATGAAGAAAGATAACCAAGCAAATAAAGCTCTAACCATCTGATCTACAGCCAGTCCTTAAATAGCAGGATAGATAGTATACTTATCAACAAGTTTGATGATGTACAATTTTATACCAACCTGTTCAAGTAGACCATATTTATAATTATCTTTAGAAGCAGACACAAAGATTTCTTGTAGATGAATAACAGCAGTGAGAAATCTATGATAAGATCTTCGTGGATAATGCTATCAAAATAAATGTATTAAACAAAATTAGTAGAAATGGTAATATAATTCAATGATTTATTTACAAAGATTTTATGAATTTATTTATATACATAATGTGTACCACTAATAACTATGGAATGCTAAAACGGAAAAAATCCAACATAAAAAAAATCACATACCAAGAAGTTGAAATTTTTTACCAAGAAACTCATATAATATACCAAAATCTTTAATCAGTAACCAAGAAATTCATACCAAGTACCTTGAAGTTTACATTTTATACCAAGAAATTCATAACAAGTACCAAGAATTTTTGGTATGTGATTTTTTTTATGTTGGATTTTTACTTTGGCATTCCATAGATAACAGCAATAGACAAAGTGTTATATTGGGTTTGAGCAATTAACAATTAGCCTTACCTTAAAACCATCTCTCCAAGCAGGTGATGTATTGGTGCTACGTAGATCTATAGAATCAGTAAATACTAGTTTATCATATGTAGCATGAGGTGCTCCCTGAAAATAAATGTTTGTAATACATCAACTTCTAGGCAAATACTATGCCAGATTTAAACTTCTGACTCAATATGCATATAACTTGAGTAATGATAATGCTGAACTGAAATCTATTGCTAGCATGTCTCCAACTGGTCTTTTTGAAAGATTAGTTCTGTTGTTATTGTTGACATCACTTACCAAGTAAAATGCACCTGGTGGATTGATACATATATGACCATGAGTGAAGTTTGACCATGGAAGGTTCACAGCACTGTCTATAGATATCTGGAAAAACAAATCATAAAATCATGTGCTAAACAACAAGCAAATTTTATCTTCCATCATTCAAGCTTACACGGTACATGTATTAGTAATTGAAACTTTATCAGGAGTGCTATGCCTGGCAAATCAATATGAATTTCAGTCAAATCTACAGCACTATTTTAGCTTTTTCTGCTATTCTAAGAAAAAAGATAGTTTACCTTGAAGCCATGTTTAGGATTATATTGACAGATTAGATTAAGATCTTGTTCTAAAGGACGAACATCTAGACTTTTGGTAAGTTGATTCTGAAATATAACACAAAATAAATTAACCATGGGCCATCATGAGGGTAATCATAGCAACATGTTGGTTGGTATTTGTAACTAGGATTTATCTTCATTGGCATTTGAAGACCAACCAAATGAGAATGTCATGCAATGCATAAGAAAAAAATGTATAAAGGTATACTCTTCTAAGCATAGCAATAGAATAATGCCATTTATATGCATAAGAGTGTAAAGTATGAAGATAAAGATTAAAATTTTATCCTGGTGTAATCAGGATACAGATAGAGTACCTTAATATATTGTTCCATATTCTTGTCACTCTTCATAAAACCTGTAGTAGCTTGAGCATGTTGAGCTACAGCATCTCGTGTTGAAATCTGAGGACGTTTCATCATACCATGTAATAATTTATTCTCTCCTTTTAGTGGCTGACATTTCATAGAATAGTATATTCTATCAGTATATTTTGGTCTTGGCTGCCATAAACCCAGTCTTAACCAATCACTCTGAGGTACTTTACTAGACTAGAAATCAAAATAAGGTCAATATATTAAAGGATTATTTCTGTATCTTTGAAATGTGATCCTGACTAGTTAAGATAATAATAATTTGAATAATTAAGTTAATAAACAGTAAGCATTTTGTCTTTTCTTTCAAAACACGATGCTTGCAACCATGACTAAGAATTCTGTCCAAAACTGATAAAATATTATTTTCTCACTGTTTATTTTTTGTAGAACAGTAAACCTGTTAGCCTAAGATAAGTATTTAATAATTTGATGGATAGATGGATTTAGGGACAGGACAGCTCATAACAGCTTTTGGAGATGAATTTACAAAGACAACAACATAGTAACATGATTTTTTCCAGTTAAGATGTGTATGTACCTCTAATGGTTGACCATCTGGACCTTTTGGAACTTTAGCTATTCTCACTAGAACTGATGAACAAGGTATTAATCTGATATTATTATTACGTAAATATCCTTCACTTAATGGATCAACACCATTAGGTCCTGTACTGTACAGTCTTAGTTGATGAGCTCCTGTATTCAGGGAGATCTGAAATTATCAACATCATTTTTAGAATTAAATGCATCATTTCCCACTCTCTAATATCCTTGTACCCAACCTGGGGTGTTTTCACCTCTTGGGGATGTGGGACTAGGGTGTCAGGGGTGTGGCCAACTGGTGTAGGAGAAGAATTTATTTTGAGTTGTGAAAACACCTCACATCATCACATGCTGGAAATGTGGATGAAACAAATTTTTGGGGGTGTGAAAGGTCCAGGTGATTGCTGAAAAAGGTTAGGAACCACTGCTCTAAATCTAAGTAATTTAAGGTTTCAACCCTTGAGTATTAAAGACCATGAATAAGTTATCTTACATTGAAGAGGATGCAAACCGAATCACCTAGCCACCATGGGTGTAATATAAGTACAATAAATCACTGATCAGTGTTAATAATCGTAAACAGTGTCTATACTAACCTGAATACCAGCTTTATCTACTGTAGGTTGTCTTTCTGTACCAGTCTCAGTAAATAGGTTGAGAGTAGCATAACCAACTACTGTTAACTTTTTATAGAAACTATCAATGGTATAAATCTAGAAAAGAAATAGAACATTGTTCATCTGGTTGCCTCCTTAATATATAATTGCGTATATAATGTGCACACCTTCACACCTTCGAGTATCTGTTAATCAAAATGCATTATTCAATTTTTACTTGTCACATCATACATTGACTTCCATCCCAATTATTTTCCCTCAAAAATTCAGGTTTTGCAACTTACCTTTAACAAGAGTGTACTAGTTGGAGGTATAGTAGAGTCTCTAAATTCTTCTTTATGTTCATAGATAGGATTATAAATATCACTATCTAATTTAACATTAGTAAATATATCTTTACCATAGACCTCATATCTTCTATCTAATATTCTTCCTGCTACCTATAATATACAAATAACATCAATAAATTCAAATAAAATTCCTTCCCAAAAAAAGTATAGTTTTATATTCGACATTGATTTTCAAGGCCATACTTACTTTAGAAAATGTCACTGAATCTGGTAAAAATCTACAGCCATCAATATAAACATCAAATCCATCACCTGGTAAATATGGTTCTGATGGTGGTCGTTTTCTGTCTAATGGTAACCAAGCATACTGAAAAATAAGATTGTGTTATATATTAATTCACACTATTGGAGGGAGAAATATTTTGCGAATTTTTTGTTAATTTTGGGGCACTGAGACTATACTACTAGATAACAAAAACACTAAATGAAAGAGTGATCATGAAGGTGCTCCAGTCCAAACTTAAATCTGAGATACTTCCAGAAGACAAACAAAAATGGTGAATATGATAAGCTTAGTAAAGAATGGCCTACCTCTGGTATAGAATCTTCACCATCACTGGAGAGTTCACTAGGTGTCAATGATCCTGGTCTAGCCATTCCTTGGAATATATTAATCTTTAATGTAGCTCGACCATATCTCTTCCATTCTCTATTATATGCTACATCTTCAAATGGTATTCTAGAAGCTTCTGGTGTTGGTGGAGCAAACAGTTTTAATGTATGGGTTCCGGTATTAATTCTCATATGTGATGGATCATAATCAACTCTACTTCTAGCTGTCAAATCTAAATACAATAGAAATAATGATTTCAATATCAGCAACTAAAATAGATGGCTTTCTAAGCATTCTGAGACCACATCATACATTCCATGAGCTCTAAACTCTGCAAGCTCTAGTACGTGTATGTAAAATGGTCTTTTGTATACTTGATCATGCACCATCAGACTTTCAATGAAGTTATTTTACAACCATCTTCATCATCAATAGAAGCAAATCTATATGCGGTGAGCTCCATTGCATCTTTGCATCTACTCAATAATATACACATTTGTTTCAATTCTATTACCTCTTAAATGTGTATGAACCAATGGCAAAGCAGTCCAAGCTACCAAGGTTTCATCTTCATAAGGTGAAACTTCTTGATTATCAAAATACACATCATCTGGTCCTGCTGGTTTCTTCTTTAAATAAAACCTGGCTATTAACATCATATCTCCTTGAAACTGGATATCAGAGAATGATGCTTCTTGTTGACCAAATACATGGTAACCTTGTTTAAAATTAGATCTGACTGCTGTTGTACTACAAGTCACTGGTCCAATACCAGATTGAGCAACCTGGAAAATTAAATAAATATCATATCTCAATAGACAGATTAAAAAATACAGATACCTCCTCATACAGGGGAACAAAATGTATTTCCTAGGATCACTGAACATTTTATGTAATCCATCAATCATTAAGGTATGACTTTGTTTAACTATTGAATATCTCTATGGTTTTAACCTCTGAGATACATAAAATTGGGAATCCAAGCTATTGATATCATAATGTTGATTCTAACCTTTCCAGTTGAAGCATAATAAACACTGAGCCGAACTTTCCCTTCTCCTGGTTCAGCAAACTTTACTCTATCAACTTGAAATCCAACCAAAGGTTCTAAATTGGGATTTCCTTGCATTGGATAGTTGTCAAGACGACTGAAATAGTACAACCAGAATTAGCTTGTAGTCAACATATCTCATGAAGTAGTCAGAAGTGTCAACGCTATACGACCTAAAACAGTAGTTCTCTATCTTTTCCAATCCTTCACACCCCCTTAATTTTCATCATCCACATTTCCAGCGAGGTGAGGTAAGGTGCAGTCTTAATTTTTCTCCTACTCCAGTTGGCCATCCAAATCCCCAGGGGATGAAAACCCCAAAGGAACCAGAAGACTTAAAAACTGATGAAAACCATTGCCTAAAGTTGTTTAACTCAAAAAACGTGAAATAACAATCAAACACTGTGTCATGGTAATGTATTCTTGGATCACTATTGATAAAACTTTAACATCTTTAACAAATACCAGTGATGTTCAGTTACTCAACTCAACAATTGGAATGCAGGGGAATTTTACAGCAATTTTGTGAGAATAAATGACTTTTTTCTTCTTGAAAAGAAGTTGATATAGATGACCTACCTATGATAGAGAGATAATGGTGGGCTAGCTGATGGAGGTGGTAATACCATTACAGGTGATACATTAACTTGTTGTAGAACTATTCCTCCCTAGAAATACATAACATACCAGATAATTTCAAACCAATCAGTTCATGTACAGGAACTTTAGGAAATTGCCAGTTTCAACTTCCATGGTAGCTCAGTTTACCTTCTTAGGTTTTCATTCTTATGTCAGATCATTGTTATGCTCATCATGGAAAAAGATTATCAGGATATAAATGCCATGTTTACCTGTGGAGCTAAGCTATATGTTTCTTTATTAGAATCAGCTATAGTAGATGTAGAATGAATTCCAGCTTCGTGGCTGTGTACAATTCTATAGTAGATTTCAGCTTGTCCATACTTCAAAACAGAAACAAAATTATGATCCAAGGTCTTAAACATCTTTGGAATGCTAGCACAAGTTTCTATAGCAAATTTTATTCTGGCCATGTACATTCTTCTATTAGAAATATGTATTTCTTGATATATTTTTGCATAAAAAAAGTGCAAGGGTCTGCCCCCAATGAGAAATTTGCACAACTATGTTATTTTTTACGTCTACAAATACAATACTTACGAAAAAAATTCAACATAGATTTGTTGAAAATAGGGGGTTGGTTAACTACAATAATATGTTGAGGTTGATAACATACCTGTGGTATTTGTGCCAGGTCATTACTAGGTAGAAATGGTTTAATTGGTACCGTACGTAATGGTAATCTGTATCTTCCTACCAATAAACTATTTATCTCATTAAACAATGGTATTTTAGTCCAAGCTCTGGTGATTAATCTAGTTTCATCATGTTCAGAACCAGGTCCTCCAGCACACTGTAATTCTACTACTATACCTAAATCTGATTCTGGTGGACATCTAAAAATATAAAAACATGACAACTCCTTATACATCTTATAAGTATCAAGACTCTCTGAATAATTTTTCAGCTCAAATCAACATAAAGGTACTTATCTAACACAATAACTGTATGCAACTTTTGTAAAAAATATATTTCAGGAATAAGAATAACATAAGAACTGCTTAACATATTTGTAAGTCAACCTGTTGTGTTTGTTTTTTTGACGATGCAGTCATTTAGTTAACAAATTAGATTATCTTCACAAAACTTTCTGACAGCATTTATAATTTCAGAAACGCATCAAAAGAAATACTCGTATCAGACTCTTTAACATTTTAAATTATCATATTAGATCATACCTAGTGACAGGTTGCCGTGCACCAACCAATGCACTATTAGTATTAAAGCCTTCAGGTCTGGTAGAAGGTTCCGCATAAACCATTGGTAATACAGATGGATCTCCCATTTTAGATGTGGTATTGTGTAAACCAACTATTAGTCTTACTGCAGTTACACCAGGATCCAAATTTAATACAAAATCATAAAATATCACAAAACCAGCCCTGTAAATAAATGAAAATGTTTTTCATGACAGATATGCAAACAACAATCACAGGTATTCGTTCATATTTACATTTGAAAATGACTATTTAGAATTATCATGATAAAGTTAACTCTATGAGGCTTAAAGTTAATAAAATGTACATACCTGATTACAGATACTGTATCAAGAACTATGTGAAGAAGATATTGTTTAAAGGGGCAGTGTCAATTTTTGTTTTATAGAAATGTAATTAGAGGGAGTATGCCTTGTTTTATGAGTTCCATTTTGGTTACTCACTGTTCAGTATAGGTTACATTTTTTTTCATCATTAGCTTTCTTTCAAGCCCTCCATAATGAGTATGATATTAATATCTCAAATTGTATCCTGTATACACTACCACTTTAAGAGCCAGAATTAAAAAAAGTCAAAAAGAATATCTTTAAAAAATTTGAAATTAAGCGGTGTTACAATGCAACATGTTTTTTAGCCTATTTTTGTAGTGGTTCTCAGAAGTATTCCAACTAACCCAGATAATTTTTTTCTGCGACATTAAAAGCTCCTGTTCTTCTTTTCAGATGAGGACACCAAATAGATCAAAGTATTCAGGCAAGCCACACTATTAATTAAGCTATGTTATCAACCAACAAGGGACAAAAGAGTAACACATTTAGGGAAAACTAATTTATTGAAAGAGAAACAACAGAAATTGAAAGATATACTTGATTTGAGAGAAATAGAAATTGTATAATATAATTGTAAATATAATCTATTATTATATAAATTTATAATAAAAACTCTTATAAAAAATCTCTTCAGAACATTGGTTTCATCTACCCTCAATCTTTCACACATATATTATAATCATTTAAACTCTGTATATCAATTATGATCAAACTGGACACCTTCATCAACACCTGGTATTGGTCTATTCCATATATCATTACTTCGAGATACCATTCGATTACCTGGTCCTGGTCGAGGACGTATTTGTGAGGGTAGACGAAACCTAGGTCCTGGTGGTCCCATTGGTCCTATTGGTCCAGGAGTTGGTCCCATTGGTCCAGGAGTTGGTCCTCCTTGTCCTCTAGATACAATTTCAATAGGAGGACCTCCACCACTAGGAAATCTACGTTCTATTTTATAACCCTCTGTTGGTATCTTGACTTCTGCTCCTTCCTCTATTACTTGTGGTGGAATATATTCTTCTACATACCAACTATACCCTCCTCCCCCTCGTCCCCCGCCTTGTTTTCGTTGTGGGGGCCTGAAAATTACAATCAGTTCATTAGATTATCCTGATCATCTTTGTAACATTTAATCATAAAAGGCTTTAAATTATATATGAAAAATTTTATTTGAAATTCTTCTTGAATAATTTACAATGTATTTATATCAGTTGCTTGAATTCTATTTTTCTTATTTGAAATCTTTAGAAAAGAATTGAGAATTTAATAATAAAAAAAAAGTTAAATTGTGTTAATTCATTATTAATATATTTGTATATCTAAGATATATTAATATATTATAAAAGTTTATATCTTAATAATGAAATTAAAAAATATAAAAAAAATTATCATATCCACCTCTACTATTTAATGACAATATGTAAATATAATATAAAAGATAACAAAAATGATTTAAAACCTAATTTATTACACCATACAGTAGTCTTAATTGTATACTCAAAAGAAATTCTTCTCAATTAACCAGCTCTGAACTTTCTACTGTTCTTGACGTATCCAAATAAATTATGCGCATACTAATTAGTTGATTAATATTAGTTAATAAAAAAAGAAGCTCTACTTGTAATATCTCATCAACAATATCATAATCATATACAAACTCTTCAACTCGTATTGGTGGCGGTGGTGGTAATTGTAGTGGTATATAAGGTTCTGGTGGTGGTGGTTCTGGGGGTTTCGGTGGTGGTGGACACCTTATATTATGATTTAAATTTCATTAGAGAGTATAGAAGAAAAGTGTAAGAAAGAAGGTGTTTTATCAGCACAGTCATACAAGTTTTCAACTAATAATATTGAAATATTGTATACTATTGCTAAAAAAACATTAGAAGAAAAGTTAAGATATTTTCATTTTCTAATTCACAATCAAACTCAGGATAAATTTTCTTATCGTAAGTTATGGTGCCAATGAAACTGTTTTTGTTGGAAAAAATTCAAATCATGTAAGGCCTTGTTGAAGTATAGCTCAATTTTTGATTGTTTCATATGTTTAGAAAATATCTTAACCTCGTATTAATAAAAGCACCTAAACTACAGATATATATGCAAGAGATACAATTGTGAAAAAATATTAAACTCTACAAAAATAGAAAATTTACTTTGAATGGTTTTATGACCAATGTGTGTGACTGTTCCCATGATTAGTATAACTGTAGTTTAGGTAGAAAATAATGTTAAAACATAAGAATGGATTACTACATGCACATTAAAGGTAGAGGCCACTTACAGTTTAAATTTCTATGTTATAATTTGGGTCATATTCATTCTCCAAACGGTGATGTGTGCCGACCCATGTATGAGCTACATTAGGATCAGGATACGCATTTGTATTGTTCATGTTATTGTAGCTGCCTTGCCCATAATTTTGTCCACAGCTACAACTGAAACTAATAGTGAATTTTGAAATAAATTATTTTGGCTTTTTGAAGTCAAATCTCAAGTATTGGCAAAGTGCAGTCAGCGCTTTTATTTTGACCAAATATAAATTATTTGACATAATTCTGAATTTCAGTTTTTAAAAGATATGCAATGTGATGTTCTGTGGATTGTTTTGGATTTGGATAATTTGTGCATGTAATAAACTATTCTAATAAAAACATGGGCACTGACTGGCACATCACCCATACAAATTATAAATCACATTTAAATAATAATTCATTTACTTTCAATTTATCATTGATAATATTATATTCATGATTACTGAGTTAAAACTTTTTGTTTATTCTTTCAATGCATTACAGTTTACCATAATTTTTTCAATACGAAGAAAATAAGAATCCATACCTTTGAGAGCAGCGACATTGGCTGTTTAGACAAAATTAGAATTTCATTTTTAACAGGAAAAACATTCAACGAAAACTAGCGAAAATTGAGGGTGCCCATTGCAGTGTGATATAACTGTGAAATCATTATAATTTGAAGGATTTGCTCTTGAAAATTTTTGTGAGGATTTTAAATTTGTGGATGGTTTTTTTTATCAAATTTTGGTACATTTCATGGATATAGGTTATTGTGGATTGTCAATCAATAAAAATTGATCCCTTCTGAATAATAACTGATTTCACAGCAGGCTGTGTCTAAGAGAGAGAACAACAGTTTTCTGTACCTGACTTACTTATATTTTTATATTAAATTGGATAGGGTAATGAAAAACGACTGCTGCAACTTAAATAGAAGGTTATCTGATCAAGAGAATTAACTTAAACTTCAGTCTTCTTCACATAATTCTAGATACATATTTCTTATCATTATCAATATCTGAGCATAAAAAGAACAAGACACTTTCTTATGGTTCCAAAAATGAATCCCACTGTCAGATAATGTACAATATAGGATACAATGATTGCAGATAAATCAAAATTTGACACTTACTGGTGATCATAACAACCTTTCTCAACATGCTGAAATAGGAAAGTAAATATCAATTACAAATTGTTAAGACAGTATGCTGGATATTGCCAAGATAAAATATGTATTGTCAAGCAAGATCTACGATTCTAACCCCACTTTGATTTTATTATAAAAGTTTCAATGATTTTTGTTACAGTAAAATTTCAGTTAATAACTCAATGATATTACTGGTATTTCATAAAGCAATGTATGGTTTCACCACTATATAATCCAGCACTATCAATTAATGTGCTCTCACTGTTTTATGAAAAACATACAGAAACAGATCATAAAACAGTTGCAATATCTTAGACCATTCTCAAGGGCTTCTTTAGAATGGCACAGCCACCATACAAGTCCATAGAATAAAATTCTTCATCTAATTCAAAAGACAATAACTCTTATACACCTATACAGTATAATAATAGTTATAGAAACCTACTGTATGTTGAATATTAGGAGGACATTGTGGTTGATGTATAACAATACTCTGAGGTTGAGCTTGTTGTTGTTGTGTATTTAATTCTAGTTGTAATCGTGTTCTATCTATGATTGTATCTTGACGTAATGATTCCATATTCTGTTGTAGTTCATACATCTTCAATAAATGTTCTTGTTGTAATCTTCTAATCTCTCGTTCAAGTTCATCTAAAGGTATCATCATACATTTTCACCAACATATCATTTATTTCAGAGATTGTGGATGGTAGGACTATAAGACTAATCTCAGTCTTTTGTTATTAATCAATCTATTTGAGTAGGCTTATTTCGATACATTTTGACTATGTACAGGGCAATCAAGCTTTTACCAACATCTAAGTTTCAAATGAATTAGAAATCTCATCAATATAAGTAAAAGTCTAGCTAGGATCTTGCTTACAAGCTTTCTTACCAAGTTCCATCAAAATCAATCAAAAGGCCATGTTCTCTATGGATAGATGGACAGACAGACTGGGGAGACAGTTCAACCCCAAGGGGTTTGGGAACCAAAGTTATTCAAACCATAGGCATCCAATTGCAGAGCAGTTGGAAATCCAGCTCACTACTACTTGGGTATCTCTTTGCGGTGAATGTCACAAACATATCAATTCACATTTCACTTATTAAGATTGGTCTAAAATGGAGGAAACTGTGTCTGCACAATTGTTTTCGTATTTTGGTTCATTATTTGGACTTCATGCTTTACTAAAGTGATCTTAGTTTCCTATGGTTACGAAAAAGAAAAGTAGTCAGAAGTTTCAAATGCAACTCTGATGCAAGATGTGTTCGAAACTCATGGCCACTTTTATTATTTGCAACATACGCAACTGGTAATCACTATGGTGAGGAAACATTAAGGAGATTAATTCAGATATCATTCTTATCATTTACAAGCATCTGTCTTTGTCTCATCAATGAAAGAAACTAATCAATAGTGCAATGATCTGGGTTCTTAAGAGCATTTTTTTTTAAATACTATGCAATGGGGGATAAGTTTTTTGTTGGAGCTTCTTCAGCAGAAACAAAGCACATGGCTACAGCTTATACTTAGTTAATGCTTAATAATTAAAGAGAATCAAAAATTTAAAACCAGAGTAAAGTAAGAAAGACAGTCAAGAAATTAATTTTGAATATAAACATAAGCTGAGCCATGTACTTTACTCCTAAAAACTACACCATCTTTATAAAAATAGAAATTTATTTCTTAAAATATACAGATTTATAAACTGTCTTCTTTTAAATATACAATTTGAAAAAAAAAAATAATTGATAAACTTTCTAAAATCTAACAGGTAAGTACAATTCTCAGCTTATGCTTATAACAAAGAACCAAATTAATGAGAACAAGCTTGTTTACATTTTCCAGTTGTCAAAAAAGTTCTAAATAAAAAGGTTGCACACAGAGAAACACCAAGTGCTAAACACAGAAAAGAAGCAGAAACATAATTCTAAACTAAGAGTGAAGAATATATTGTTTGGAGTATTGAAAGTTTAAAATATTATATATATTTTCATGAAAGCTTGTTCTAATCAAAATGGTTCATAAAAATTTGGCACAAAGGATTTGGCAAGTTCAGAGGACATTGTAAAATATATTCAGCTTTGGAAATTGGCAATTGTTTGGCAATCCAGATACATACACATTATTTGTGTGATTTATGTGATTTGTGTGATTTATGTGATTTATGAGACTTATGTGATCGATGTGATTTATGTTCTCTAGCACTGTGAACAACTGATGCACTATCATTAGGTATGATAGTAGCAGCTGTAGGAGCTCTACTAGACATTGGAGGTACATGCAAAGTGTGTGAATGGCCATTGCTGTGGTGTTCAACACTTGCAGTAATTGTTGGTGGATCCGCTGGAGGAGCAACAGTGGTTGCTCTTGCCTTTAGCTCCTCAGAGGTAGGTGCCTGAACAGCTTGTTGTGGCTGTTGTTGAGGATAATATTGAGGATATTGTTGAGGATAATAATATTGTGAATAGTTATATGGCATTTGAGGATATTGGGAGGAATCATTGCCAGAATCAAAAGGGATATGTGTGAAATAAGCTGAACATATTTGACAATCTCCCGAACCCCCCGTATCATTGTTATCATTGTTTCCAGAAATTATAATGATTTCATCTTGAGCCTTTCGAGGAGAAGGGAGAACTGGTGAAGGATAGTTAATAACTGTTACAGGTGGTACTGAAATTATAAATAAAAGCAAAAAAGTGAAAAGATTTGTTGTTGATTGAAAAGTGTTGGTGTTTCTCTATGTGCAAAGAAGTTGATTGTCAAAAAGAAATTAATGAATTTATAGATCTTATGAACCTGGGTTTTTAGCAGAAACATCATTACTTATTCATTAAAAGTCACTGCTTTTTTAGTTTCTGCTTGTTTTTGACGTCCAACAAAATTGTCTCTGAATCTGTAATTCTTTTCAGGTTCTAGAGGAGTTTTGTTTTGATTGACAGTTTGTTTTGAAGGTGGATTTTGATTTTTGTTTTCATTTGTGTTAATATTATTAACATTGCCTTTCTTAAGTTCATCCTCAGATTTCTTTTTGGCATTATGTGCTTTCTTTTTAGCCTCAG